GGTCCTTTCTACATTCAGGCTGAGAAGGATGGCCCACAGGGAAATGAAAGTCTTCCAGCCATGTGACCCCACCCTGCCTCCCTTCATCACCAGGGCTGGGGTTGGGTTTTTTATAAAACATGGCAGAGAATGCAGTGGCTGGACCTATACAGAAGGTCAGGGGGTCTTGCCCTCAGGACTTGATGTCTCTTTGCCCTCCGAAGTCTGGCGTTGATACCCAGTACTGCCCTTCTTTTATGCTGACTGCTGCAGCCAACAGAAAAAAAAGTCTTCTCTCCACTCAGGGCCGCCAGACATCAGAAAGGACCTATTCATAACAAGCTTGTGCTGACTCTCCCCCACCCCCACCTCCAACCCTCCTACCAGCCGTGGGTGGGGCAGAAGCGCTGAGGAAAGTTCTGCAGACCTGAGAACAGCAAGAAAATACAGGGCTGCTCCCCGCCTCCACCCCCAACCCTGTCTCAACAACGTTCAAGCCCTGGAGACCTTGAAAAAGGGAAGACTCCCTTCTGGGTTTATTTGAATAGATTTCTCCCAAGATGTTGCCCAGAGAAAGAGAGCAAACAGGAATATTGATTGGCCAAGGTTGTTTGGCCCCCAGGGCAGTAGTTCTCAAAACTTGTGCATAGCAAACTTCTGGAGTGCTTCTTAAAATGCACATTCCTGAGTTCCATCTCTTGCTGTTGTTGTTCAGTCACTCAGCCTTGTCTCTTTGCGACCCCATGGACTGCAGCACTTCATGTTTCCCTGTCCTTCACTATCTCCTGGAGTTTGCTCAAACTCATGTCCATTGAGTCAGTGATGCCATCCAACCATCTCATCCTCTGTCGCCCCCTTCTCCTACTGTCCTCCACCTCTAGAAGCTGGGACTCAAGAAGTGTATGTAGGGACTTCCCTGGTGGTCTAGTGGCTAAGACTGCGCTCATAATGCAGGAGGCCTGGGTTTGAGCCCTGGTCTGGAAACTAGATGCCACGTACTGCAACTAAAAGATCCTGTACGCTGCAGTGAAGACTGAAGATCCCACATGCTGCAACTAAGACTTGGCACAGTCAAATAAATAAATATTAAAAAAAAAAAAAAACTATGTAGGGTCTCCGTGTGCATTTTAAAAGGCCGAGGGGCACATTGTGCCCCCAAACCTGAGGCAGAGTTGGGACATTTCTCCCCATCCCAAGCACAGTTCAGTTCAGTTCAGTTGCTCAATCCTGTCCGACTGTTGGCAACCCCATGGACTGCAGCATGCCAGGCTTCCCTGTCCATCACCAACTCCCAGAGGTTACTCAACTCATGTCCATTGAGTCGGTGATGCCATCCAACCATCTCATCCTCTGTCATTCCCTTCTCTTCCCGCCTTCAATCTTTCCCAGCATCAGGGTCTTTTCCAATGAGTCAGTTCTTTGCTTCAGGTGTCCAAAGTATTGGACTTTCAGCTTCAGCATCAGTCCTTCCAATGAATATTCAGGACTGATTTCCTTTAGGATGGGCTAGTTTGATCTCCTTGCAGTCCAAGGGACTCTCAAGAATCTTTCTTCTCCAACACCACAGTTCAAAAGCATCAGTTAGTCAGTGCTCAGCTTTCTTTATCACCCAACTCTCACATCCATACATAACTACTGGAAAAACCATAGCTTTGACTAGACGGACCTTTGTCTGCAAAGTGATGTCTCTGCTTTTTAACATGCTGTCTAGGTTGGTCATAGCTTTTCTTCCAAGGAGGAAGTGTCTTTTAATTTCATGGCTGCAGTCACCATCCGTAGTGTTTTTGGAGCCCGAGAAATGTCTGTCACTGTTTCCCCAAGCACAGCCTGGGCTTATTCAATACAGCTACATCATCAACCAGCCTGTGGCAAAGATGCTCTGGTCCTCAACTTGTGATCCTCACAGCACCCAGGAAATTTCCTAGCACAGGTAGACCAGTTAAGTCACATCAGTCTCAGTGGGGAGCTCAAGCTCAGGGTGAAAGTGTTTCTTAGAGTCCCAGATTTCCTGGGGGGCCAGGGGGGTTGCAATGAGAGGAAAGGTGAAGCCTGGTTGGGATAGGAAATCTACACTGACTCTCCACACTGGGCTGTGAACAGCAAGTAGCCAGGAGCTACTCTTTAGTTGCAGTGCCTAGGCTTTTCATTGTGGTGGCTTCTCGTTGAAGGGCATGGGAGCACGTGGGCTGCGATAGTTGCAGCTCCCAGGCTCTAGAGTGGGGGCTCAGTAGGTATGATGCACGGGCTAATTGCCCTGAGGCATGTATAATCTTCCCGGACCAGGGATTGAACCTGTAACCCCTGCATTGGTAGGCAGATTCTTAACCAGTGGACCACCAGGGAAGTCCACCTTGCTATTGACTTAAAAAGTAGTCACAACCTAAAAGTTGAGACTTATGTTTTATTCGGAGGAAATTTTTAGGACTTAAACCAGGGAGGCAGTACCTCAAGTAATCCTGAGAGAACTGCTTCAAGGAGGCGAGCGGAGGAGCCAGGTTATATAGAAGCTTTGCAACAAAGGGTAGGTAGTCTGAACATCAAAAGATTATTTTTACTTATTTATTTTAATTGGCTAGATTATTGTTAATTAAAGAAAACCAGACATCCTGAGTTAAGGAATTCAGTGCTTTTCTGTGTGTGGGAAGATGCATACACATCTTTGGGCTCATTGCTTTCATATGCATCTCAGCTATCTGGGGCCAGTATTCTGCATTTTTCACATCCTAGATTCCTCAGGATGCTTTTGAATTGTGGTGTTGGAGAATACTCTTGAGAGTCCCTTGGACTGCAAGGAGATCCAACCAGTCCATCCTAAAGGAAATCAGTCCTGAATATTCACTGGCAGGACTGATGCTGAAGCTGAAACTCCAATACTTTGGCCACCTGAAGCAAAGAACTGACTCACTGGAAAAGACCCTGATGCTGGGAAAGATTGAAGGCAGGAGGAGGATGAGATGGTTGGATGGCATCACTGACTCGATGAACATGAGTTTGAGCAATCTCTGGGAGTCAGTAATGGACAGGGAAGCCTGGCATGCTGCAGTCCATGGGGTTGCAAAGAGTCAGATATGATTGAGCAACTGAACCGAACTGAACTGACTGAAATTACTCAGTGCTCACTGTGGAGAGTGGCTGCAGCCTGAGGGCTGCCAGATCGTGCAGGGATTCTTTTTCTTGAGTGCCCTTATGGCTCAGGAATTAACTTTTGGAGGTCCTGAATTGCTGATGACTATGGCATCCTTGTTTACTGACATGACAGTAAATATTCCATTTCTCATTTTTTTCCTTCCCTCTTTCTTTTGGTACTTGTCTATATGCTGGAATTAGAGGGAAATGATATGTTATTTAAAAGGCCACCTGCAGTTCAGAGATGTGTGTGTGAATTGCTCAGTCGTGTCTGACTCTCTGTGACCCATAGAAGCCAGCCAAGCTTCTCTGTCTGGAATTCTCTGGCAAGAAAACTGGAGTGGGTTGCCATTCCCTTCTCCAGGGGATTTTTTCAACCTGGAGATCAAACTCGGATCTCCCACACTGCGGGAAAATTCTTTACCACATGAGCTACCTGGGAAGCCTGTAATTCAAAGATACTCATTACTAAATTTCATGCATTTGTCAATGTTTTTCTATGTATTTGGAAAACTTACTGCTTATATAGTGTCATACCCTGAGTTAACTCACTTTGCTTGCATATTCCTAAAAGTCTTAGGCGTCACTTTCCATGGCTTCATGATAATAGTACACTTAACCACTCCCTCACTGTGGACATTTAAGCGGTTTCCTTTATGCTCTATGTAAGTATCACAGTGATAAGCATATTTGCCCACACAATTTTTTTTATCTATATTTCTTATTTCCTTAGAATAGTGCCCCAGAAGTGGAATTACTGGGTTAATGAGTGTAAAGCTCTTTAAGCTTAAGATATGGTGCAAAAATAATTTGTAGAAAAGGTTTCACTAATTTACAAAGTCACTGTCTTTTCAATGATCTTTGTAGCTGCCTCATCAGAGAGAAAGGCTAGCTTTGAAAGCATCCTTGAATCTATGTGGCCTCTGCAGGGAGGCGAGAGGGTTTCTAGCGGTTCTGTCTGGACTCCCCCTCCGCGGGCACTTTCCTAGTTCTTAGAAATTTTTATTTTCTTAGGATCATTGGGAGAAAAAAAAAAGGCCCAGGAGTGTTACTGGTAATGGCAGCGTTGAAGGGGTGAGGGTAATCTTTATGTTTGAGAAAGAGCATTTGTCAGCGAGAATTCAATTCTTGGAGATCCTTCACGGAGCCATCCATCTAATCCAAAGTGACCTTTCAGAGACGGGAAAGATAATGAAGGAGGAGGCGGCAACAGGAAAGGAGCGGGAGAAGGCCTCCAGCTGAAAAGCGGCGGCCCCTTTAAGACCCAATTCGAGGCCTGGTCCTTTAAATCCGTGTCAGTTTCCCCTGACGTCAGCGGGCGGGCCGGCAGTCCTGCTGTTTACCGCCCCGCGGCGTCGCTCACTCCCCGGAGTTCTGGGCGCCGAAGCCGCCGCGTCTGCCCGCCCTTAAAGGGCCGGTGCCCGAGAGAACTGGCGGCGCCGCGCGGCGTCGGGTCGCTACCTCCTATCACGCCCCTCACCCTCAGACTCTCCGCCCCTTCGCGGCCGGCCAGGCCACCGGCTTCCCCTCCCTCCCTCGCTTCCCACTTTTCCCTGCGGCGTCTCCAGGCTCCCAGCAACCAGCCGCCTCCCGGCTGTCACATCCCCGGCGGGCGCCCACCAAGTCTCCCGGCCGTGCTCGGCCCCTGGCGAGCTGGGGCCCCTTCCTGAGGCCCGTCACCCTTCCCCCGGCCCTCCCGCCCCCGGCCGCCCCGTCCCCTCCCTGGTCCCTGAGAGCGCGTCTGCGGCTCCAGGGAGGGGACGCTTCCTAATCTCAGGCCGGGGTTAAAGTTCTGGTCCTGGTGAGATGCTGGAAGCTGCGACCCAAGCCCCAACCCGCCCTGGAGGTGTCCTGTCGCTTGCCGCCGCCGCCGCCACTGCCACCCTGCCGGGGCCATGTTCGCCCTGGGCTTGCCCTTCTTGGCTCTCTTGGTGGCCTCGGTCGAGAGCCATCTGGGAGTTCTGGGGCCTAAGAACGTCTCGCAGAAAGACGCGGAGTTTGAGCGCACCTACGTGGATGAGGTCAACAGCGAGCTGGTCAACATCTACACCTTCAACCATACCGTGACCCGCAACCGGGTGAGGGAAGGGGCTGGGCTCCGGGCTGGTGGCGAGTGGGGCGAGACAGCCGACCAGGCTCTGTCAGTTCCCAAGAACAGCTGCCCCCCTGGGTTTTCCAGAACCACACTGGACCCTTTTGCCAGTAGTTTCCTCCTGTGCTGGGGATGTTTGTTCTGAAGCTACCCCTTGACGGGTTTCTGAAGTTGCCTCATTCCCCCCTTCTCTTTTTGATCACTTCCTTTCCATCAGCTGTAGTCTAAACAGGACTGACCTTGCTCCCTACCCAACACCCAGAATCTTGACGGTGTTGTGGGTCTGGGAGCAAGGAAGCAGATATGCTACTGGGCTTGTCCCAGAAAACCCCAGGAGGATGAGAGTGGCCCAAGCTGAAATGCTCTGCCCAGGGATTGGGGGTTGCTTATGGCTGAGACTCCCTGGGGAAATGAATGCAGGACTTTCCAGGCTGCTGTAACTGCTGGACCTTCCCAGCTTTCATCCTCCCTTGGAAAGCCAGATGGCCTTGAAAGTTGAAGGTGGTGGGGATACAGCCAACCCCAGGGTGGGTGGGAGGGGAGAGGGAGTTTGCCTACCGTGGAGAAACTTCCCCACTCTGCTTTCTCTTTCATTTCCTCCCCACCTGTGAGCTGAGCACGGGACATAGCTGGGTCTCGGAAGTTCAGACCCAAGGTGGGGCTGAAATTGGGAGAACTCTTGCCCCAGCCTGGCTGATGGTCTCCGACTCAGCTCTCACCAGAACTGAATTTACCAAGAAGTAGTGGAGTTCAGAATGGGAATCTGTTTTTTTTTCCAGAATAGGGAGATATTAGGTTTCGATGGCAGGCCAGGATCTGCCTTCAGTGCTTGGTTCTCTGAAGTTTGATCTCATCCAGCTTGGAATCTTGTCTCTGTTTGCCCCCATATGTGAGGTTACCCATATGTGGGGTTACCCTGAGGGCTGTGGCCTCTACCCTTCAGGGGAGTGCTGCCCTGAGTTTGGGTTTCAGCAACCCAATAACAAGCATTCCCAAGATTCATTTAATTTTATTCTTTTTCTTTAAGCTCTGAGTGTCCTATATCCTTTCCTTCATAGTGCCAAGAGTGGCAATGTCTTCATTTTATAGAGGGGGTAAGGTGAGGCTCAGAGATGTGAAGTGACTTTTCCACAGCCCCAACCCTTGGTCGGAGCTGAGGATAGAAGTTGACCTTCTTGGCTTTCAACAAGTCCTGTTTCCCCACCTCCCTATGTGTGGCTTCTGGCCACCAGATGAGTTGTGGACTAGCAGTTTTCCTGACTCACAAGGGAGGAGGCTGCAGAGTACTCTTGCTCTCCTGTGTCCCTCCAAATGCACATCTGTGTGTACATGCATGTGTGTGCGGGCGCATGTGCATGCCGTGAACTTTTACAGAAGTGGGGTCTCCTGGGGGATACCCCAGATCTCCATTGTGATTCCTGTCCTCTCTTCTAAGTCCCTCCTGGACCCTGGGGGCTGCTCTGGCAGAAGCAGTGTGTGTGTGTGTGTGTGTGTGTGTGTGTGTGTGTGTGTGTGTGTGTGTGTGTGTGTGTGTGTGTGTGTGTGTGTTAGTTGCTCAGTCGTGTCCAACTCTTTGCGACCCTGTGGACTGTAGTGCACCAGGCTCCTCTGTCCATGGGATTCTCCAGGTAAGAATACTGGAGTGGGGTGCCATTAGGTATCTCCCCAGCCCAACCTGGATGGGAAAGCACAGAGTGGTCTGCGGAAGCGAGGGCAGAGCTCATGGTCTCTGGAGCCATATGTTCTCCGTGACAGAATTAGAGCCACCATGGGCTTGACCAAGGGGTGTTTCCATGTCCTCCTGTAGACGGAAGGTGTGAGAGTGTCCGTGAATGTCCTGAACAAGCAGAAGGGCGCTCCTTTGCTGTTTGTGGTCCGCCAGAAGGAGGCGGTGGTGTCCTTCCAGGTGCCCCTGATCCTCCGAGGGATGTGAGTAGGACCTGGGCGCGGGGTGGGGGGTGGGGGTGGGGGTGGGTCTCTCAGGCCAGGCCTTGATCAGAACCTCCCCCGGACCCTTGTCCAGGGCCTCTGACCACCCCAGCACCCCTCTGTTTCTCCTCCCAATCCCCTAAGACAGGAGGCTGGTCAACAGCAAGAGGGCCAAGCCAGCCGACCAGGAGCGGGGGTGGGGTAGGGAGGCAGTGGGACCAGGGTGGAGGAATCGAGGGCCCTGCTCCCCTGGAGCGGCAGGGCCGCAGTCACGTCCTGACTCTGCCTCGGGCCACAGGTTCCAGCGCAAGTACCTCTACCAAAAGGTGGAGCGAACGCTGTGTCAGCCCCCGACCAAGAATGAGTCCGAGGTCCAGTTCTTCTATGTGGATGTGTCCACCCTGTCACCAGTTAACACCACGTACCAGCTCCGCGTCAGCCGAATGGATGACTTCGTGCTCAGGTCTGCAGGGGAGAGGGAGGGGGCGTGTGGGACTGTCCTCCTTCCCAGGCTCTGGGAGCGATGGTATTGGAGGGCTCTTCTCTGCCCCACAGGACCGGGGAGCCGTTCAGCTTCAACACCACAGCAGCGCAGCCCCAGGTAAGACCTCCCCGTCTACTGCCTCTCAAGGGGAGAAATGGGGAGGCTTAAACTTGGGGGGTGGGGGCGGCCAGCAGTCTTTGCCAGGAGTTTCAGGTTGGCTGTACTCTCCATGGAGAACTCTACAGAGATGGGAGCCCTGGCCCCAAGGTGGTGGAGAACAGACGGCCTGGGGAGCGCAGAGACATGGGGTTGGACGGCCATCTCTCCTACTGGCCTCTTGGGCACTGTCCTGCATGCCCAGCTGAGGTTGAGCGGAGCAGTGTGTGGGAAATGGGGCTGCCACTTGTGGTCAGGGCTTCTCTCTCCAGAGAGTCTCCACTGCCCGACCCCGGGAGGATTCACACCCTTCCCTTCTAGAGGGGCAGAGAAAGCATCCTCACAGGATGGGGCTCTCCCTGCCCCACCTGTGCCCTCAGTACTTCAAGTATGAGTTCCCAGAAGGAGTGGACTCGGTCATTGTCAAGGTGGCCTCCAACACGGCCTTCCCCTGCTCAGTGATCTCCATCCAGGATGTGCTGGTGAGTCAGCGGCCCTTTCACGCCCCGCCAGTGGCCGGGCTGCTGAAGAGAGGGGACGGGGCCCAGGACCCTGTCCATCCGTCTCTGCCCTCCTCCCCCGCAGTGTCCTGTGTATGACCTGGACAACAACGTAGCCTTCATCGGCATGTATCAGACGATGACCAAGAAGGCGGCCATCACTGTGCAGGTAGGAAATGCACGTGGCCCCTTGGGGGATGTGGCCAGGTGATTAGCCTTCCTCAACCTTGCTGCTTTGCCCCTGCCCCAGTCCTAACCTGCCACAGGACTGAGTCTTGGTGAGCCAGTCCCCAAGACTTTGGGTCCCCTGGTATTTGCAAGCATTGAATCTCAATCCCGGTTGCCTTTGGGGACAGGAAAGAGCAGAGTACCCTTTTTGGCTACCATGTCTGCCCCGTTCCCCGCAACTGGCTGGTGATGAGGGCTGCTCTTGGCAAAGGCTAAAACCTGTGCTGGAGCCAGGGAGGGAGAGGCATATGTTCACCTCATGACATCTAGTCATGCAGCTGATGGAGGCACCGTGATCCCTCCACTTTTTCTCCTGACTGATGCTCAAACTGTAATAGGGCCCCCATGGCTTCCACGATGGTGGGCATACCCACATTTGCTCACCTGGCAATAGTGTAGGTCCTGAGTTTGGGCTCTGAAGTCAGATGATCCTGGCTGTATCACTTACTGGCAGTGTGACTCCAAGGTAAAAGTCCAACAGGGATGATGATAGTACCTACTCGTGAGGATTAAGTAAAATAATATATATGCCAAGTGTTTAGCATAGCGTCTGTTCAGAAGAGGGTGGGGATGGTGATGACAAATGGTGATTGTGATGTGATGACAACAGTCGTCATCATACCACCATCGTCGTCACCATCATCACCATCATCACCGTCATCATCCTGCAGCGTAAGGACTTCCCCAGCAACAGCTTTTACGTGGTGGTGGTGGTGAAAACTGAAGACCAGGCCTGTGGGGGCTCCCTGCCTTTCTACCCCTTTATAGAAGGTACATTTTGTGCCCTGGGCCTGGCTGGGGGTGGAGAGGGCTTGGGCTCTTCCTGGGAAGTATTAGAGCCTGCATGGCTGGTGGATCTGATGGGATATAGGTTTTTGGCCCTAGACTCGTCCAGGCCTGATCCCACCAACTCTACCCAAGCTCCAGGCAGACGCTTGTTTGCCATTTTGACATTTTACTTCCAGATGAACCGGTCGATCAAGGGCACCGCCAGAAAACCCTGTCCGTGCTGGTCTCGAGAGCAGTCACGTGTGAGTGTGGGTGGCTGAGTGGGGATGGCCTGGACTCTGGCTCCTCTTAGGCCTGGGGTAGGGAGTGTTTTCTGAATGGGATGGGTGAGGAGGACCTACCCGAGCAGGCTGACAGGGTAGGAAGGAGTGTTCTTGGCAGACTTCATGATGGGAGCGCAGTGAGTGCCAGTGTAATGTACTTCAGAGCATCCATGAGTGAAGAGATTGCGGGACTGAGTTCTAGATCTGTGTCTGCCTTTATAGGCAGGGTAATCTCACTGAGCCTCAGTTTCCCCATCTCTGTAATAGGAGTACTAGAATCTGTTAGCCTCTAAGTCGGTTCAGCAAAATTGGTCGGTCATACAAAATTAGTAGGAAACTTCCCTGTCCTTTAGTCAGGCTCAATAAATATTTACTGAGTGACTGAATAGAGCCCTTTGTAAAGTGGAACGTATAAGATAAACATAAAAGATTGTGATGGGAGGGGAAAGAAGCTGCCTCTCCGATGCAGAGTCCTTACTCAGCACGTTGGTCTCAAGCCCCTTCTATCTGCCCACTGCTGGTGCTCCACCTGTGGTCTTTAGGGCGCCCCTGCCTAGAGCCTGCTGCCCTGTAGGGTGCCAAGGGCTGTGAGGATCCCAGGACGGTCTCTGTGGGAGGTCTGGGCGGAGAAGGTCTCCTAGGGGATGCAGTGCCTCAGCTGTGCTTTGAAGATTAAGGAGAAAGAGCGAGAAGAGAAAGTTCTAGCAGAGGGAGGTGCATGAGCAGACAGGAGCCATGTCTGGTGTATCGTCTGCACCGGCTGGGCTGTTCCACTGCGGGGACATGTGGGAGAGATGAGGCTGGGCCCGTGTGCCGGAAGGGCAGGCTTGGAAAGCGTTGGTCTGTTTTCCTGCCTGCTCCCCTCCCCACAGCGGAGGCCTACGTTGGCGGTATGCTCTTCTGCCTGGGCATATTTCTCTCCTTCTACCTGCTTACTGTGCTCCTGGCCTGTTGGGAAAACTGGAGGTAAAGTGGAACTGCTGGACCCTCCCCTGCTCTGGGGTGGGTCAGGCAGGGGATGTAGGGGACATGGCCTGGCCAGATCTGAGCCCCCTGGGTAAGCTCCCTCCATGGGGCAGAGGAAGGCGGGTCCCTGTGAGGGTCTCAGGTCCCTGGGCCTCTCCTCTAGAGACCAACCCCTCCTCCTCAACCTTCTTCCCCAGCAGGGAGACCCCACATTGCTTCCCAGCCTGGGAGGACCCCTGGGGTTGTGGAGGGAGGCCAGGGCTGTGGGTTGGAGTGGGTGGAAGGCGGGCCGGCCCAGCAGAGGACAGCGCCTCCTCCTGCCCTCTGGTTTGCCTCTGGATTCTGTCCCTGCAGGCAAAGGAAGAAGAGCCTTCTGGTGGCCGTGGACCGAGCCTGCCCAGAAAGCGGTACCTACAGAGGGTCTGGGTGGGGAGGGCTGTCTGCTTTGTGGTGTGGGGGATAGCGGTGGATGGTTCCCGTGGGGGCTGGAGGAGGCAGGGGTTTTGGGATGTTCAGACAGGGAGTAACAGTACAGGTGGAAATGGGGCTGGGACAGAGTGCCTGTTGGTCTCTAACACGCCCATTTTAAAGGCCATCACTTGATTCACTCAGTGCCTGGGTCTATGTACCTGGTCTGCCGCTTCAGATAATGCAGCTCACCATGTCTGGGATTATTAACCTTTCGTTCTCTTTCCCTTTCTTCTATCCCGCTCTCTCTATCCTCCCTCCTGCTTGGGACCTTCTCTCTCAGCTTCTCTTCTTGGTAAGCTCCAGGCGCTGTGGTCAGAGGAGCTGGCATCCAGAGTGGGCGGGAAAGGGAAGTTTCTCGGGGGGTCTGTGTGGGACCCAGGCCGGTGATGCGGGTCTGTCCTTGCTGCTGGTAACTTAGATGGTTAGTTCCTTGACGTTGCAGTCTCTCTAGGGAGGACAGAGGGGGCGAATGTTTCCACTGGGGCAGGTGGTGGCAGTGGCGGGAGTGCGCTGTGTTTGCTGGAATGATAGCTGCTTGTTCTTTGTTGCCACCCTGGTCCTCGGCATCTCTCTTCTCTGGAGTCCTCCTGCCCTCTTCTTGGCTTTCAGCCTCTCTCTGCTTCCAAGGCTAAGGGTCCCTGACTTCTCCCTGCAGGTCATCCCCGGGTCCTGGCCGACTCCTTTCCTGGCGGCTCCCCCTATGACGGCTACAACTACGGCTCCTTTGGTAGGTGTCAGCGCCCAAGCTCGCTGGTCTCCACCCCAGTGGCCTCCTCAGCGCCCCCTGGCGTCAGGTCCAGGGCCACCTGCCCTGAGGTCTCTGCTACCGGCCTCACCACTTATGATTCCCCTGCAGAGAACGGTTCTGGCTCCACCGGCTCCACTGACGGTCTGGTTGACAGTGCGGGCCCCGGGGACCTATCCTACAATTACCAGGGTGAGTGGGCCAAGCCGGGGAGGGCCGTGTGATGCCGGGCTGGTGCTAGCTGCTGTTGCCTCTTCTGCCAGCTGCTGGAACCAGGGAAGGGCTTGCTGTCTCCCTCCCTCCTCCTCCCTCTTCCCTTCCTCCTTGCCCCTGCTTCCCCCATAACTCTCCCTTTCCTTTGAAGGGCACAACCAGTTCAAGCGACGCCTCCCCTTTGGCGAGATGCGGCAGCTGTGCATTGCCATGGGTAGATGTGGGGAGGGTGGGCGCTGCTCTGCCAATCAGCTCCTGCCAGGGCGGTTGACTGGAGCCAGGAGGCTCGAGGACCAGAAAGATGCTTTGTGCATGGCTTGCCTGTCTAATGCCGATAATTGCTAGTTCGTGTGTCTTTTGAAATAGGCAGGCACTGGCCCCTGACACTGGTGGGCTGGCACCCCCGCTATGCCCAGGCCAGATGTTGGTCAGCTGTTGTGGTTCCCAGCACCTCTCTTGCTGGCCTGCTGGGGCTTGTGGGCAAGGGTGTTATGTCCCAGCCTCTGGGGGCTTTGGTCAGCAAGGTTGTGGGAGGAAACTTCTGATGACGTGAGAAAAGAACAGGATGAAGTAGCTGGTGCTCTTCTTAGAGGCAGCCTGTCACCCTTGCCTGCACCCCAGGGCCCACTGGGTCTTTTCCCAGCGGGGGCCATGGCAGTGTCTTCTCAGAACCCACACGGCTGGGCATCTTCTAATCAGCATGACTTCTGCTGATTAAGTCCTGCTGCTCGTGTCTGGGGCCTGAGGTCTGCTCAGTGTCCTGGCCTGGAAGCCCTAGCCCAGTGAGGGGCAGGGCTCAAGCGGTCCCTGGTGGGTGGACTGTTTGCAGAGCCCATCCTGACTCCCCTCCAGGACTCGGGAGCACCTGATGCCTCCTCCCCAGGCCTGAGACCACCTCCGCCCCCACTCTGAGCCCACAGTTTGCCTCCTCCCACCACCTAGAAATTGTGACAATTGCCCCAGACCTTGGGTTCAGTGCCCACCTGGTAACCCTTTCCCACTTTCTTCCCCAGACCCCGTGGGCACTCGACCACGACTGGACTCCATGAGCTCCGTGGAGGAAGATGACTATGACACTCTGGCCGACATCGATTCAGACAAGAATGTCATTCGCACCAAGGTGTGAGCCCAGGAGGGTTGGCCCTGGTTAACAAGGAAGTGAGATTCTATGTCCGGCCCCACATATGCGCCCCCCACCACCCCTGCCCCTGCCCGTGGCATGTTAGGAAAGCAAACGGAGAGAGCTCTGTTAGGGCAGCATAGCTTCCGGGGAAACTGACTCGGCTCCCAGGCCTCTGGACCATCCGAAACTCTGCCCGCCAAAACTCTGGCCAGTGGGAGGGAGGCCCCCCTGTCCTCCTTTACCGGGACAAGAGGCCTTCCAGGGCGGTGGGGAGGGGGCTCACTCCAGCTTCTCGCCACATAGCAATACCTCTACGTGGCTGACCTGGCACGCAAGGACAAACGTGTCCTGCGGAAGAAGTACCAGATCTACTTCTGGTGAGCGGGTGGGGTGGGACAGGGTGGTGGGGTCTCGGGCTCTCTTTCTGGGTGCTGCCAGCTCACCAGCACCCTCCCACTCCCCAGGAACATCGCCACCATTGCCGTCTTCTATGCACTTCCCGTGGTGCAGCTGGTGATCACCTACCAGACGGTGAGCGGGCGAGGCCCATGCTAAGTGCCTCTGAGCAGCTGCCACAGACTCTGGGGCGTTGCCCAGGCAGAGCCTCCCAGCCTGAGGCTCTGGGGCAAGCCCAGGTCCTAGGGTTCCAGTCCCAGCTCTGCCTTAACAGCTGGGCGGCCTTGAGCAAGTCCGTCAACCTCCCTGAGCCTCAGTCGGTTCATCTGCCAAATGGGGGGCAGCATGCTAGCTCTGATGGCACCTCCCCCAGTTTGTAGGGATTTTATGAAACGGAAGTGGTAAGAAAGTCAGTCTCAGTTTCCCTTCCCTCTTCTCTGTGCCGTGGGGCAAGAACCTCAGTCATGGTCATGCCTCGCGAGTTTTCAGCCACACCTACTGAGGAGGGCAGTGACTGTGCTGGAAGTGGGGCTTGCTGGTGTCGTGTGCACACGTGTGCTGGCCGAGGTGGCAGCCCCCATCATTTGGAGAATGGGACGGGTGGTGGCACAGGCTGTGGGCTGAGTCAGGCGAGTTAGCAGCTCCCCATCCCCCTGGTTCTCACTCACTGCAGGTGGTGAATGTCACAGGGAACCAGGACATCTGCTACTACAACTTCCTCTGTGCCCACCCGCTGGGCAACCTCAGGTGGGAACCGTCTTGCGAGGCCCCCTTTTCCCGTCTCTCAGTGAACCGGTGCAAGGGGCAGGGGCTCTGGGAATGCCCACCTCTCGGGTGGGGAAGGGGGCCCCGGGCCTGAGGTCGAGACAATGCGCCCCATGTCACCCCTTCCAGCGCCTTCAACAACATCCTCAGCAACCTGGGGTACATCCTGCTGGGGCTGCTCTTCCTGCTTATCATCTTGCAACGGGAGATCAACCACAACCGGGCCCTGCTGCGCAACGACCTCTGTGCTCTGGTGAGCGGCCTGCCCCGGCCTCACTCCAGACCCTTGCCAGCAGGCGTGGCCCTGCCCAGCCCTGCCCTGCCCATCAAAGCCCAGCCCTTCCTAAATCACTCTAACCCTTTCTACTCCTCTCTCGTGATCTCTCTCTTCAGGGCCCCTTCCTTCCTTCTTTCCCACCTCACTGCCTTACCTTCTCTCTCCCTTCGCTTCTCCCTCCCCAACAGGAGTGTGGGATCCCCAAACACTTTGGCCTCTTCTACGCCATGGGCACAGCCCTGATGATGGAGGGACTGCTTAGCGCTTGCTATCACGTCTGCCCCAACTACACCAATTTCCAGTTTGGTGAGTGGGGGCTCCCTCTTCGCTGGCTGAACCTAGAACAGGGACCTGCCTGACTTTGCCCTCGCTACTCACCTGCAAGGATTGAGATCCCCAAGATGCAGCTGTGTGGGAGACTCCAGGGCTGGAGGACTTGTGTGAACCTACACCTTGTTGTTGCTTACTAAATCTTGTCTGCTCTGCAATCCCATGGACTGCAGCACGCCAGGCTTCCCTGTCCATCACTGTTTCCTGGAGTTTGCTCAAAACTCATGTCCATTGAGTTGGTGATGCCATCGAACCATCTCATCCTCTGTCACCCCCTTCTCCTCCTGCCTTCAATCTTTCCTAGCATCAGGATCTTTTCCAATGAGTTGGCTCTTCGCATCAGGTGGCCAAAGTATTAGCACTTTGGCTTCAGCATCAGTCCTTCCAGAGAATATTCAGGGTTGATTTCCTTTGGGATTGACTGGTTTGATCTCCTTGCAGCTTAACTTGTAGAAAATAGGCATCTGAGTGCTGTTTCATGCATCTGTCAAGTCTTTTCTGTGGAGAAAAAGATAACTGAGACACAGTCCCTAATCTCAGGGTACTTGGACTGAGTTGTCCTTGTCATCAGGGGAAGTCAGACTGTGGGTGACAGCCAGAGGGCCAGCAGCATGGCGTGGCAGGGACAATTAAGGAGCCAGAGTTCAAGTGCCAGGCTGCCACCAGCTTGCTCTGTGGCCATGACAGGTGTGGGGGCTGGGGTTCCACTCCGGGGCTCAGTGGAGGTTTCCGCGGCTCACGGCCTCATCCATCCCTCCGCCTAGACACGTCGTTCATGTATATGATCGCGGGGCTCTGCATGCTGAAGCTCTACCAGAAGCGGCACCCAGACATCAACGCCAGTGCCTACAGCGCCTACGCCTGCTTGGCCATCGTCATCTTCTTCTCCGTGCTGGGCGTGGTGAGGCCCTGGCCCACTCTGCTCACCCGGAGGACAGGTGCACGCGTGTGCACACACCCCCACCTGCCGCCCCTGCCGGAGAGATCCCTGCTCCCTCCCAGGCCCTCCCAACCTGGCACAGCTGCCAGCCCAGCTTCTCCAGAAGGAGGGCAGGCCGGGGCGGAGGGAGGGTGCTTTCCCCGGCGCCGCCTCACCCCTGCCCTCGGGGGCCCCCACAGGTCTTCGGCAAGGGGAACACAGCATTCTGGATCGTCTTCTCGATCATCCATATCACTGCCACCCTGCTGCTCAGCACACAGCTCTATTACATGGGCCGCTGGAAGCTGGGTGAGGGCTTGCCCAGGGCCTGCCGGGGTTGGGGCCTCGGGGACCTGGCCTCATAGGAGACTTTGGGGCTCTGCCCTCTCACGGAGACCCCGGAAGAATCACCGGGCATGGAATTCATGAGGCCTTGGCACAGCTGTGCCCCTGAAGGCCCTGGGCCCTCTCGGCTGGCGCAGAGCAGGGTCCAGGACAAATGGGTGCCTGGGCCTTTGAGCACCTTCCCTTCTCGCAGACTCAGGGATCTGCCGTCGCATCCTCCACGTGCTCTACACGGACTGCATCCGGCAGTGCAGTGGGCCTCTCTACGTGGTACCTGCCCAGCTCCCGGGCCCCTCCTCCTCTGTCTGCACTCCTTCCTCCACTGGGGGTTGGGGGTGGGCGGAGCGAAGCTGAGAGCCCCGGGGTGGGGAGGGGAGGGGACCCGCTGACCCAGGCCTCCCTCCCCTTCTCCTCCATCTCTCAGTCCCTGTGTCTCTGCTTCCCTCCAGGACCGCATGGTGCTGCTGGTCATGGGCAACATCATCAACTGGTCGCTGTGAGTCCAGCCATCATCTGTGTCCCCAGGCTGGGTGGGCAGCTGCTGACTTCCAGCCGCTGGCTCCTTTGGGAGCCGTGGACAAATATGGGCACGAGAAATGGGGGCCCAGGAGACAGGTGTTGGCCCCTGGGGTTCTAGAATCTTCTGTGGGCCTCTGAACCCTGCCCCACATCCTCATAAAACACAGGGAAAGGGCGGAGGGTTGGGGGGGAAGCCCCTTCCTTGCTCTTGGCCGTCCCCTGCTTCACCAGCTGGTCCTCCCTCCTGCCAGGGCGGCCTATGGGCTCATCATGCGTCCCAATGATTTCGCCTCCTACTTGTTGGCCATTGGCATCTGCAACCTGCTTCTTTACTTTGCCTTCTACATTATCATGAAGGTGAGCCGGCAGGGCTGAGCCGCCTTGGCCAGCCAGGCCAGCGCTCTGCTTGGAATGGAGGGACACGGACACAGCCTGCCTGGGGCAGCACCGGGAGGGAGGGGAATCTTTCTGTCCGTCTCCATCTGTCCCTCTCCATCCACTGAGTTTTGAGGAGGGGAGAGGCTAGTCCCTTCCACGTACTCCCTGGAAGCCCGCCACATCCTCAGACTGTTTCCTGAGCCCCTTCTGTAGTCTCAGTCCCACGAAACTGGTAGCACTTCAGGACACAGCTGGCAAGAGTCCCGTTCCGCACAGAAAAGGTTGAGGAGGTGGGGCTCGCTGAGACTGCGGTGGGCTTGGGCCTCGGAGAGCCAGGGTCTTCCCCAGGGCCTTTATGTCATCCAGTGTGAGAGGAGCCCCCCAGCGTACCCCCCCCCCAGCAGCACAGGGCACACAGAGACCCCGCCAGGGTGGACCTCAGGGTGAGGACACCTGGCTGCCAGTGTGAGGACAGGTGAGGTGAGGCTCTGGGGTGATGGGATGGATCTGAGAAGGCTTCCTAAAGGGTCCATCCTGAATGCCTGGGAAGCGGCTTGAAGGGCAGGCGGGAAGTGGGGCGGGGCCTCAGGCCGGTGTCCCCCCCTGCTCCCCACTGGGATGGGGCCTCAGGCCGGTGTCTCCCCTGCTCCCCCAGTGGGGTGGGGCCTCAGGCTGTTCTTCCCCCTGCTCCCCCAGTGGGGTGGGGCCTCAGGCTGTTCTTCCCCCTGCTCCCCCAGTGGGGCGGGGCCTCAGGCTGTTCTTACCCCTGCTCCCCCAGTGGGAAGGGCCCTCAGGCTGTTCTTCCCCCTGCTCCCCCAGTGGGGCAAGGCCTCAGGCTGGTCTCCCGCCTGTTCCCCCAGTGGGGAGGGGCTTCAGGCTGTTCTTTCCCCCTGCTCCCTCAGTGGGGAGGGGCCTCAGACTGGTCTCCCGCCTGTTCCCCCAGTGGGGAGGGGCTTCAGGCTGTTCTTCCCCCTGCTCCCTCAGTGGGGAGGGGCCTCAGGCTGGTCTCCCCCCTGCTCCCCCAGTGGGGCGGGGCCTCAGGCCGGTCTCCCCCGTGTTCCCCCAGCTCCGGAGTGGGGAGAGGATCAAGCTCATCCCCCTGCTCTGCATCGTCTGTACTTCGGTGGTCTGGGGCTTCGCCCTCTTTTTCTTCTTCCAGGGACTCAGCACCTGGCAGGTGAGTAGTCCTTCTGCTACAGTCTCATCATGAGCCCACAAACAGGTCTCTTTTCAAACCTGTTTATGAGCATTACCCATGCCCTTTCACAGCCACTTTCACGTTTAATCCTCCTGACATTGACCATGCCGGTGTGGAGGTATCCCCATTTTACTGATGCAGCAGCCGGGTCTCAGCAGACAAGTGACCTGCCCAGGGTCACACAGCCAATAGTGGCACCGCTGGGGTTTGAAGCCAAGATGTCAGGTTCTTCCCTCTGCTCATAGGGCACCTGCTGTGATCAGAACTAAATCTGGCAGGGTCTCTGCCTTTGAAGCAATTTTATTTTTTTTGGCTGCATGGCACAGCTTGTGGGATTTTAGTTCCCTGACCAGGGGTTGAACCCAGGTCCTAGGCAATGAGTGTGCAGAATCCTAACTACTAGACCGCCAGGGAAGTCCCCTTTGAAACACTTAAAATGTAGTTCCAGGGACAGAGAGACTGTCAGTTCCTGGCTTTTCTCTACAATATGATGCACAAGATGAAGGGTAACAGGACAAGTGAGGGGATGTGCAGGAGGCAGAGAACAGAAAGACTTCTGAGGAGGTCCAGGAAAACTTCTTAGAGGAGGTGGACCTTGCTCTTGGCCTTATAGACTCTGTGGCCCAGAGGCACCATGACTTGAGTAATGAGACGGAGACAGCTTTGGGGTCAATGATGCATTTGCTTGGGAGCGCGTGGAGATGGTGAGCTCCTTGAGGACAGATCAGGTCTTTCTAGGTCATCTCTGCAGCCTCAGTGTGTGGCACAGACCGCCCTCAGACACAGTCCAGCCAGTGTTGGCTGGAGAGAGATTGGGGAGAGCATGGAGGACCATGAGGTGCAGGTGATGGCTACTGTGGTCCTCGGGCAGGTTTGTCTGACCTCACTGGAGTGTTTTGGAGAAAAAGTGAGCTGGAAGAAGCCCTGGAGGACTGATTGGCGCAGGGGGCGAGGTCTAAGGCAGGGAACCAGTTAGGAGCCTTTGGTGACCTGCTAGATCTGCAAGGGAATCAGGACCAGTGCCCTTAGGGAGAAGTTTGCATCTAAAGGCCAATTCTTAGATGTGGGAGATAACACAAGGGGTGAGCCCGAAAGAGGGTGCTTTCTGGCCTGAGGCTGGGGCTGGCATCAGAGGTGCCCTCCAGCGGATGGGCGCAGGTCTGGCTCGGCCTCGCCCTGGTGGTGTCAGCAAACAGCTCTCCCTGTTCCTCTCCAGAAAACCCCCGCAGAGTCGCGGGAGCACAACCGGGACTGCATCCTCCTCGACTTCTTTGACGACCATGATATCTGGCACTTTCTCTCCTCCATCGCCATGTTTGGGTCGTTCCTGGTAGGTGGGGGGACTGGAGAAGGGGCAGAGGCGGCCTCCCATCCCCTCCATGACTCCGTGTCCACCCCCCCCAGGTGTTGCTGACACTGGATGACGACCTGGACACCGTGCAACGGGACAAGATCTACGTCTTCTAGGGGAGCTGGGCCCCTTGCTTCTCTCATGGAGCCCTGAGCTCCTCTGCCTCACCGCCCGGAGGTTCCATAGTGCCAGGGGCCTGAGTCCCAGCCCTGCCGCCCAGTGCCAGGGGCGGTGGGACAGCGAGGTCCAGCCCAGGCTTGGCCTGGGACAGTCACAGGGTGACCTTGAGCCTTGCTCCTGCCCTCTGCCAGGGATGAGGCCTGTGCCCCTTCAGCCCCAAATATTGGCCAAACTGCTGCTTTATTCTCAGTGTTGGGGCCTTCCACGGGTCCCTGTCCATCAGCTCTCTGATTGTTGTTCTGCAGGAGGAAGGAGGGAAGCGTTGCCTGCCCATTTCACAGCTTTCGTCTGGCCGTCCTTCCCCTTTCCTCCTGGCCTGGACCCAAAGCCTACCCTTCTTGCCCGAGCTTCCACTCCAGGGCCCCAGTCTGGGGCCCGATTCTCTGTCCTGCACCAGAGTTCGCTCCACTTCTCCTGGGTCTGCGCCTGCCTGCCATCACTGCCCTCTCTGGTCAGCCAGGATGGATGCGGCTGTCATATCTGGGGGCTGGCTGGCTGGTGCTGGGCTTTTGGTGCTAAGGCCTGCAAGAGATCCTGGGCAGCGCTGCCGCCTCTCTCTGACCTGCGCTCAGGGCTGGTTCTTTAGCAATGAGGGACAAAGCCCGCAGCGTGGGAACCGCCTGTGATTGAAGAGCTGAATTCGGAGGTCTTTCATATGCCGTCAGCCCCCAGACTGACGATGGCACCCAGTGACTGATGTTGGCAACCAGGATTGGAAGGAAAAAGCAACTCACTCCTTTCCTTTCTTTCTCTTTCTAGGCCCTTAGTCCTGCCAAGCCCCATTTGTGGGCCTTTCAGTGCCATTTGACACTGCCCGAGAATGTCTAGAGGCAAAGGAGGGGCATTACAGAGAGCACAGCTCCTTCACAGCCACAGGAGCCCCAGTGCCTATCTTAGGGGCTCAGGGAAGGGACATGCCCTTCCCCTCTGTGTCCCTGGTCCAGCCTCACTCTGGGACACAGGGCTGGCTTCTAAGTTTCCGTCCAGTCTTCAGCCAAGTTCTATGTTACACATACACATGCACACGTATGAAACCTTGAGTTTACACTGAGTTGCCCTAACTGGTTCCCCTGGCTGCTCTTTGGCCCTGCCTGGTCTGTTCCAGATGCCAAGGTTGGGGAGATCAGGTCAAGCCTCTGCCTTGGGGATGGGAATGTGTTTTATTCTCCTCAACTTGTTTTTATAGCTCTCCCTTGGGCTGGGGAGAGGTGGAGGGTCTGGATCTTTTTTCAGAGCTCCGTTGAATGTTTCCATGCTATGGTTGCATTTCTGTTTTCTATGAATGAGTTTGCATTCAATTAAAGAAACAACCAGATGCAGTCCTTGGGCCTGTCTCTGCTCCCTCTTTCTGGATGGAAATGTTGAGAACGAGGGCTGGGGCCAGGCTCCTCCATTTCCCAGGTCTGGTGTGCCCTTCTCTTCCAAGCCCCAGTCCTGTTGGGAATAGCAGTCCCTTGACAGCTTCATGTTTTTTCTCTCCTTTGAGCAATGGCATCAGTTCAGTCAGCCTTTACCAGAGGCCTGCTCTATGCCAGGCGCCATGAGTGTAGAGAGGATCTTGTAGGGAGAAAGCCGTAGCTATGCCATCTCACCTGGCAAATGGGGGTAGCCTCTGCCCACCTGGTTCGCAGGCACCAGTCAGGCCAGCTTCACTTCTTATCCGAGCCCCTCCTGGCTCAGCAGGCTGCAGGCACAGGGCAATGCTCCCTCACCTGACTTGAATAGACAGGTGGTGCTTAGGGAACATGAGATGGAGCGGATGGTTGGGGAGTGGGCACCGCGCAAGCTCCAAGAGGAGGGACCTTCGAGATGACCCTGGAAGGCTATTTAAATTTAGGCAGCCTAAGGAGGACAAGATGAGGAGCGGGGCGGGGCCGGGGGCGGGGTGGGGCGGGCTTGCGATGAGGAAGCTGGTGAATTAAGGACACGCCTGAAAGTCTAGAGTTGCTCCTCTTTAGCTGCTCCCTAGCTCCTCTCCCTGCTCTTCCCCGCAGATGCCACTGGGGGGCACTGTGCTTCTGCACTGCTAGGCTCGCGTCCGGAGTTGGTTGTGTAGGAAAGGCCTTTTCTGGTGGTGCTGGGTGGTGGGTGTGCAGTGTGTGATGGAGAATTAGCTCCTCCCTGCCAGGCCGCCCAAGGATGGAGTGGGGCCACAGCAGGCAGCCCAGAGCCCCCACCGTGTGCCCCTTACCTTTCTTCACTCCCTATCCTTCGCTGAAGCGAGATTTGAGCGGATCTCCTTCCTTGGGTGATGGGGTCGTGTTTTCCAGAGGAGGTAGAGACTATTTGAAAAGGAGTAGGTGGGGGCGGGGGGGGGGGCTTCCCTGGTGGTCCAGTGGTTAAGACTCTGATCTTCCACTGCAGGGGGTGCAAGTTCGATCCCTGTTGGGGAATTAACATGCCACATGCAATTAAGATGCCACATGCCGAGCAGCACTTGGCCATAAATAAATAAACAAATACATTTAAAAAAAAAAAAAAAGGCGGGAGGGATGATAGAAGTCTTTGAGCCTCCAACCCCAATGTTGGTGCCTCAGGCCCTGCAGACCCTCTGGTTGGGACTGAGCTGTTGCTGAGCCCTCCAGTCCCACCCCCCAGCTAAAGCGTGTGATTTAAGACCCACCCCAACTGCGAACTCAACCTGAGCAGGTGCAGCTGGAAAGGTGGGTCTGCCAGCCTCTCTGGCTCCCGCATGGCTGGGGGGTCGGCAGGGATGTCCAGGTTCTGCCTTTCAAGACTTACCACGTGGCCTTGGGTAAGACTCCCTCCGAACCTTTGTCTCCTCATTTGTAAAATGGGAGAGTAATTATGCTGTCATGATGCAGCTGTGAGTATCAAATGAGCGCGTTTGCAAAATGCCTGGCACGTAGCCTGGTCCTCGGGAAAGGTGAGCTCCTGTCTCCCGCTAGAGCTGAAAGCCCCAGGAGGAGAGAGTGGCTGGTTAGTCCCCCACAAGCCTCAGGGAGGGGTCCCCCAACCTCTTTCACTGGACAGCCCCTCTTGAATTTCCCCCCTCCCCGCAAACCCGGAGGCAGGGAACAGTGTCAGAGGAGCAACCCTAAGTCCAGACGGCAGGGAAAGCCTTCGTGGTCCTGTCCATAAAAGGCTTTTCCCGGCGGTTCCCCGCCGGCAGCGCGGCCCCGCCCCCGCCGGCTCCATCCCCAAAGCACGCAGAGAATGTCTCGGGCAGCCCCCGGTAGACTGCTCCAACTTGGTGTCTTTCCCCAAATATGGAGCCTGTGTGGAGTCACTGGGGGAGCCGGGGGTGGGGAAGGAGCCGGTTTCCTCTGGCCAGGAGGGGGCCGGGGCGAGTCAGCGGGGGGAAGGCTGACATCACCGCCGTGGCAGCCCTTTAAACCCCTCACCCAGCCAGCGCCCCATCCTGTCTGTCCAAGTCCAGACAGAGCTCACGCCTTCCCGAGAGCCCCGAGGAAACCCTGTAAGTGCATTTGTCCCGGGACTGGAGGGGAGTTGAGCTGGGGCTCGGCAGTTGGCGGTCGCAGTGGGTGTCGCGGTAGGTGTATCGCAGGCAGGACTCTCAGGCTCCCAGGCGGGGGAAGCCCACCCTCTTGAGTTTGCACTCCCCACCTCCAGCTGTAGAGGTGGTCCTGGCTTGCTGGGTGGGAGGGGGTCACTAGAGTCCCGTACCTTTTAGCCTGTGCAGCCTTGAACCCGGTTGAGATGCCCAGGGAGACGGCTGGTGCAGAAGGATTGATGGTGGAAACCTGGGAAACTGGGGTCAGGGAGGCACCCCTTTCAGCCATAGTCATCTTATGTGTGGTGTGATGGGCTCAAAGGTGGAGTCGGTTTAGACCCAAGGCTTGTCTGCTATCCAGCCAGATCAGGAGGATGTTGGAGGAGGTGAGGGGTGTGTGGTACGCCAGGGCTGGAGCGCAGTGTCCCTCTGTTGGGTCCCCAGGTCCTGAGCAGCCTAGGAGAGGCCCTGGGTAGCCACTGAGGAAGTGGGAAGGACCACAAAGCTCTTGTCTTCTGGAACTGGCCGGGTGGCAGGATGCGGGGACAGTAAGAGACCCGCCTCTCCAGGCACGCAGCTGCCTCCATGCCCTGGGGGGGAGGTCACCCACCAGCCGAGGGTGAGGTGGCCTGCCGAGAGCCTTGGCGTGATGGCCTGGGTGGTGCAGACAGGGCCAGGCAGGGCCTTCCCCTGAGGTCTGGCGTTTGTTTCCTTGAGTGGTTTTTCAAAGGGTAGGTGGGTAGGACAGGTCTCCCCTGACCCCAGAATTTAGTCAAGCCACCGCTCCTGGGCTTGTCCTGAGTACTGTGTTTTGTTTTTTCTGAAGACTGCGGGGCACAGCTGTCCTGCAGAGAACCCTGGTTTTCCGGGTTCCTGCTGGGAGGAGCTGCCCCGCCTCTTGGCAGCTGGGCTTGTTTTTTTTCTCTGGGGAGGGTAGGCTGATGGAGCCACAGGGCCGGGGTGGGGGGTCGAGGCAGAGCCCCAGGCTCCCTGTTCATCCTGTCCTAGGAGCCTTTGCTTAGAAAGACCCTGGGTGGGCCGCTCTCTCTCCTCACCCCTCCCCTCCCCAGCAGCTCCAAGGTGGGCCTGGAGAGGTTTTTGTCTGAGGCCCGGCAGGATTCTTCTTGGAACCCTCCGCTTTCAGACTCTCCACCAGGAGGGAGGAGGGAGGAGGGTGGGGGTGGGGTGTCTTTCATCCCCCTTCCTGGTTCTGATCAAAATCATGCAGGTTGTCTCTAGATCTTGAGACTGCAAGTTTGTGTTCTTGTCCCTGTGACCTTGCCACCTTGACTGTCCCGAATCTCCGGAGTCTGGAAGCTGGGGGTTGGAGATGCACTCTGCTTGGCCCCTGTGCCTCATGGGCCCAGTGTGAAGTCTGGGGGGTGGGGAGGGGCAGAAAGGCGGGGAAGAGGGGAGGGAAAGACAGGACTTGGGAGGTGGGGGGTGGGGCCTGGACCGTGGGGGTGCCTCCTGTCTGCCTGGGATGGTGCGGGGAAAGCTGAGAGGAGGGAGGGTGGGAGGCCTGGATGAAGGATATGGGCTTAAATCCCCTGGCCCCAGCTGCGGGTGTGTCTGGACCCTAGTTCTTCGCCCAGGAGTCCTTGGGAAGCAGGGATGAGACACAGCGAGGTGGGGAAGGGAGGGGCTTGGCCTTTGTGTTCTTTGGCATCGCTGGCTGGGATGCTCTGAGAACCACATCCTCAGAGGTGGGCCAGCCTGCACTTTACAAATAAGGAAGCAGACTCAGGGAGAAGTGAGGGGCCAAGTGGCTGGAAGTTAGAGGAGCTTTTCTCTTGTTTTCTTCTCTCAAACTTTGCAGTCCCTCAGGGAATATGATTATGAAGAGGGGTGGAGGCTGGAGCAGGAGAAATTCTGTTTTTACCACTTGGTCAGGGGCTGGCTTTCTTGGGTCACTACCAGGAGACCGGCTCTGGGGGCAAAAGACTAACATTTTGAGGAGCTCCGCTGAGGGACAGGTCATGTGTTGGGTCGTCACAGACAGGGCCTCCTGGAAAGTTCCCAGTTCTCTGGGTAGATACATTATCCTCCCTGCACAGATGGGGCATGAGAGCTCAGGAAAGCCGTCAGCCATGGAGAAGGAAGGGCCGGGCAAGTGGGTTTTGGCAACTTACCTGGGCCCTTGTGAAGTGATGTCCACTGCCTCCCATGGGAGTGGGGAGGAAGAAGGGCTCAGCTCTGACAAGAGAGGGAGTTGGGAGCACACGGTACTGACGCCTCCATCCTCAGACCTTTCTCTTCCTCCCAACCTCTGACCTCTCAGAGGCCAGGGGATGGGCTGGCCTCATTTGATTCCTCTTTCAAAGGACTCTTCTGGTGAGTTCTAGCGCCACGTGGTACCTGACGCCAGCTCAGGTGTCTCCTGACCGGCCACACCCAAGCCTGCCCAGCAGCCTCCCTGCTTGGCTCTGCTCCCTGCCACTTGTGGGCGCTCCTGAGTGGGGCCAGTCCCAGGCCCTAGGGTCACAGGTTGGGGAGGGCTTCCCTGCTCTGCTTGGCAGATGCTGGGCTCATGTCCCCGGAGAACTCTGGCTTCGTGGTTACGTAAGCTCCCACAGTGGTGAGAGCCTGAGGTCACCAGGCAGGGTGGTGGGGGTACCAGCTGGTGGCCCCCACGCATCTGGCTCCCCTGGGGAAATGCAACTTCTTGGCCAAAAGCCTCCTGGGCTTTGCTGGCTTCCTAGCCCTTACCAGGGGTGGGGAAACTTCAGCCTCTGTAGCTGTCGTTCAGAGCCTCTGGAGGCTGAGCTGAGCTGGCAAAAGAGCTGGAGTTTTGGGGTTCCTGCTTCTGGGAGAACTGAGAGTTGGAGGGACCCCCATAGCTTCAGGCAGAGGCACCAAACCACCTCACACCTCACTGGACAAAGACATCTGCTGGCTTCATTTTGAGGGTCAACGTGGTCTCTTCCAAAAGACCTCTCCAGTGCCTCTGTCACCAATCTTAGCAAAGAAAGGGTGCTCTAGACCAGGGATTGTCAAACCCATAAATGCAGCCTGTCATCTGTTTGTGTAAATAAAGTTTTATTTGAACCCACCTATGCTCACTTGTTTACATACTGCCCAAAGCTGCTTCGATGCTACAATGGCAGGACTTTATGGTCTGCAAAGCCTAAAATATGACTGTCAGTCAAATGACTATCTGGTTATTTACCAAAACAGTTTTCTAACTCCTGCTCTAGACTGCCAAAGATCTAGTCTCCAAGTTCAGAGAGGCTTCCTGGACTGAGGGGATGAGCTAGCCCAGGTGAGTGCAGTGGAGACAAAACCAGGAAGCAAGGGGAGGCAGAGAAAGAGCTAGGGTGGCCTCCCCACTCCCCCGACCCTCAGAGCTGGACGACAAGACCTGCCAGGCACTGGTGATGGCGGAGCTGTTCTCTGACTCCCTGACCCCCTCCCTCTTCTGCCCGTGTTGCTTCAGCTCCCCGCCAGCATGGCCAACAAGGGTCCTTCCTATGGCATGAGCCGGGAAGTGCAATCGAAGATCGAGAAGAAGTACGACGAGGAGCTGGAGGAGCGGCTGGTGGAGTGGATCGTTGTGCAGTGCGGCCCCGACGTGGGGCGCCCGGACCGCGGGCGCCTGGGCTTCCAGGTCTGGCTGAAGAACGGCGTGGTGAGTGACACCGGGGCCAGGGGCTAGGGTCGTGCCACTGTGCCGGTGTCAGGGGGCAGGGCCCCCCACCCCCACCCCCAGCTGAGTGCCCAGCTGCCTTCTTCGCCTGGCAGATTCTGAGCAAGCTGGTCAACAGCCTGTATCCCGATGGCTCCAAGCCAGTGAAGGTGCCCGAGAACCCGCCCTCCATGGTCTTCAAGCAGATGGAGCAGGTGGCTCAGTTCCTGAAGGCCGCTGAGGATTATGGCGTCACCAAGACTGACATGTTCCAGACCGTTGACCTCTTTGAAGGTAGAGAGAGAAGAGGGGTGGACGAGGCAGGTGGACAGGGGGCAGAGGCAGGGATGAGGGATGATCAAGCCTGCCATGATGACGGGTCTGCACAGCAGGAGTGGCACACACCAGGAGAATCCCACACCCACGGTGGGATTTCTGTGCCTCCTTTGATTTCAGGACCACCTTTGCCCCCGGTTGGCCATATCTCTGGGGAGCACAGGCTGGCTCTGCCTTGGGTTCTGTTTACACAGTCCTAAAGGCTGTCCCCCCTCCCCTCCTCCTACTCACAGGCAAAGACCTGGCAGCGGTGCAGAGGACCTTGATGGCCCTGGGCAGCTTGGCAGTGACCAAGAATGATGGACACTACCGTGGAGATCCCAACTGGTTCATGAAGTATGTGACCACCAGGGGTTCCCTGCGCCCTAAGCTTGGGTCTCTACAGGAGGTGGGCTAGCCAGTTAGTGCAGCGATTACAGGAAGCAGAAAGCTAGGAAAGGTACACAGTTGAAGGTCTAGGGTGGGGGGAAGTGGGTCCGTGGTACATCTTGGCTCCTCCCTTTCTACCCTCCTATCTGAGCCAGTCTTTCCAGCCTGTGCTGCGGGGCAGCTACAATAAGGAAATGAGAGCAGTAAAACGCAGGAGGGGATGGCATCGGGCTAGGAAGTAACAGAGGAAACCAAAGGCAGGTGGAAAACACACAGTCCCGGCAAGCCTTTGTCCTGGTTCCTCCTCTCCTAGGAAAGCCCAGGAGCACAAGAGGGAATTCACGGAGAGCCAGCTGCAAGAGGGCAAGCATGTCATCGGCCTACAGATGGGCAGCAACAGAGGGGCCTCGCAGGCTGGCATGACGGGCTATGGGCGGCCCCGGCAGATCATCAGTTAAGAGGGCGAGGGCTGGTGCCCAGCCCCGCCTTTGCCCAGCTCGCTGGCCACAGCATCCTGCCTCGCCTGCCTCACACACAGCTGTGTAGTTCCTTCAGCCCCGGCCAAGCTTCGAGGCTCTGTCACTGAGCAAAGGTGACTGCACTTGGGCAGCTCGCCCCCACCCCTCAGCCTCAGCCCAACTCCTGACCCCAAAGCACTGCTCCCCCGGCCTGCCTCCCAGCTCCCCCACCAGCTCTGCCGTGTCCCCATCCTGGGCTGAGCAGGGGAGATGTGGGCTGGCAGTAGCCTGGGCGTGGGCAAGTCCACTGTCCTCCTTGGAAGCAGATGCTCATAGGAGACCCAGCCCAACCTCCCTTGATTTTTTTTTTTTTTTTTTGCTGGAATATTTGGGGGGTTGAAATTCAAAAAGAAAAAAAATATATACATAAATTTTTTTCTCAGGCCTGGCTGCCAGAGTCTGATTTGCCCTAGTCGCTTTGGTCCTGGTTGCAGGAAGTCTGAGCGGAGAACAGGCAGGCAGCTCGGGTTCTCGTGTGTTCCTCGTGTTCCACAATTTCAGGGGGTGAAAGAGGGGCATGGATGACAGTTCTGAAGGGAAAGAGGGGCAGCGTGGCGACTTGTGTTAGCTTTGGGGAGGTGGCCGAAAGGAGTGGGCAGAGGGTGACACTGTGTGGAAGGTTTTTATTTTGGAAAAGCTGTGCAGAAAAAATTCAACAAAATGTTGCTGTGGAAAGAGAAAACCAAATCATAAGCATTAAAAAAAGTTCCAATCAACCAACTCGCTCAGAAGAGGGGAGGAGGCCAAGAGTGGGAGGAAGTCAGAGCCCGCCAGGCAGCTGGCCGGCCTCGGGTGGGCACGGCCGTTTCCCTGAGTACTTTGCAGAGGAAGACGGGGTGGCGGCAGTCCTGCCGGAGACACCCCGGTGGAGCAGCCTGGGCCTGGAGGCTGCGCCCACCCACAGCCCCACCAGGCGCATCGTACCGGTCCTTTAGGACAAAGGGGTCAGGGGTGTGCTCAAGGTGGGCTTCTGCTGACCAGGGCTGATGCAGGCAGCTGCTTTCAGGGCATGTGTGCTGTGTTGGGGGCTGACTGCCAAACCAACATGGCCAAGCCCAAGGCTGAGGCTGGATGGTGAGGGGCAGAGAGGGCAGGGCTGCCGTTTCTGGCCCCCGGGATCGTTAAAAGGACAGGCATATCGGGGGCTCTTCCCAGCTTCCATCCCTAAGCCTCTTCCCAAGGGACCCCAGTGACACTTCTGCTGAGATGCTCTTCTGGCCACGCGTGCTGAGGGTCTGCGTGACCCACGCCGCTGGCCTGTCCTGGAGAAGCAAGGATGGAGGCCAGCCCAGTGGAAGCCCTAGTCCGTCATCCGAGACCTTCTCACCAAAAGCTCCTACTCCGTTGGAGGAAGGCTCCACGGCTGTTGCCAGCCTGTTCTCTGGCATCGCTGCTCTGCTGACTGGACCTTTTGTAGGCCCGTGCCCTCCCTGAGCGTGGTCTTTGGCCAGAAGGCGTCTTCAGGCCTCTGGTCCCAGCTGGAAGCACCTGGACTGCTTTCTGCCCAGAGCTCCCAGGACTAGGAAGCAGCTTTCCACACTCCTCCAGTCGTAGGAAGTGAGAGCCTGTCCCACGGTGGCTGTCAAGCCCCAGGTCAGCACATCTGCGCCTCCTTCCCCTGCAGCAGGTCTGGGGGCAGGAGCTGAGGGACATCCAGGGCACCCCTGCTCTGGGACAGGTTCCAGTCCCCCTGGTCCAGCAGGTCCGGGGCGTGGAGCCCTGAGGTGGCGGGAGCGCCCTCGCTCTCCAGCCCCGCTCTGCCTGGATCCTGGCTACTGCAAAGGGGAACTGATTCTAGTTCTGTCCCCTCCTCCTTGGCTTTCTGGCTTCGCTGGGGCCAGTGGCACGGTCCACCTCGACAAATCGGGCGAAAGGCCACGTTCCTCTGGCTCAAGTATACTTCCAGCATGTAGTAAATGGTCCAGAAGACTGTGAAGCAGCCAATCAGCACCAGGGTCTGGGGGAAAGGCAAGCACCTATGTAGGGCTGCTCTCCCAGAAGCCTGCAGCCTTTCTCAGCCCAGGACAGTGAGCTCAGAGAGTCTCTCTCCTTCTGGAGGCTGCCTCTCCCACCCCAGGCCACACCCTCTGTTCCCCCGACTGACAAGAGTTAGTCTGGAGACTGGGGACCCAGGTCTGCCCAATCCATCACTCCCAAGTTGCCTTGAGTCTCCCACCGAGGACAATACCCCAGGACACCCCTGCCTGTCTGCACCTTGAGAGTGTTGGGGGTGATGGTGTAACCGTCTTCCTCGGGGATGTTCAGCCCGGGTGGGCAGGGCAGCGTGAAGCCGTCGTGGAGGTATTTTCCACTCATGGCACTTTCTAGTAGCCTGTGGGGAGCAGAGAGGAGACGAGGATGCCCCACTCAGCCTGGTTCCTCTACCCGCCTGCCTTGCCCATCCTCCTGACTGACAGCTGGACAGGGCGAGGTCGCACAGCAAACAGGGGAGGCAGGATGTGGAGCTCCCTAGGTGGCCTCCCCACCCCCACCCCCAAATCCCCAGCCCTCTGACGCCCGTGTCTACACCTACCTCTGTCTGTCTCTGATGTCTACCGGACTCCATACAGAGCCATACAGGCTGAGCTGCCATTGCTGGAGGACGCCGGCCTGGGGCATCTCGTCTCCTGGGGCGGCGAGCAGGGCGGTCCGTGAGCCTCGCCTCGCAGCTGGTCAGACGGCAGAAGGCCCGCCTGCCCCGCCACCCGGAGGGACTCACCACATGAGTGGGCGGCCAGTCGTCTAACTGTGTCCCACTGACCCTGGGGTTCTGCAGACCTACCTCTCTGGTGGTCTTAGGAATGGAAAGGGGAGGGTGAAAGGGAGCACTCCAAAGCTAAGAAGTTTTTCCTCTTTCATATTTTAGGGTTTCAGCTGGGATTTTTCTTAAAAAAAAAAAAAAAAAGTCCTGCTAAATTAAAGAAAGGTCTGAAAACCACCGGTCTGGTGAGGTATACCTGAAAGTTAAAGACTCTTTGCGACCCCATGGACCACACAGTCCAGGGAACTCTCCAGGCCAGAACACTGGAGTGGGTAGCTGTTCTCTTCTCCAGGGGATCTTCTGAACCCAGGAAATTGAACCAAGGTCTCCTGCATTGCAGGAGGATTCTTTACCAACTGAACTATGAGGGAAGCCTATACCTAATTTGGGGGAAATTGGAAGGGTTGGGTTCAATTTCCAATTTTCTCTTTGAAATACTGTATGACTTCCACATGTCACTTCAAACCTCTGGGTGGGCCTCAGTTAAAAAAAAAATGGTGAAAATTAGTCCTGCCCTTACCTGCCTACCAGGGCTGGCCGCAGGATGGTTATATGTGAAAGAACTTGAAATGTGGTTTCAACAAGGAATTTGTGTTGCTATCCTGAGGAAAAATGGATCAGTCACTTTGCCAAGGAAGATGAGAGGTAGTATTAATGAACAATTAATGAACAGGTTTCAATGCCCATTCTGTGGATGGGGCATACTTCTTGGCAGCTACCCTTTGGTCCAATGGCATCCCAGGTGTTCCACCTGGGACACTTTCTGTGGGGACTCTGAGATCCAGAGGAACAGACAACACTTGTGAAAGGCATGGCCCTGGCTGGGAGGCAGGCAGGCTTACCTACATCCCTGATGACGAGTCTGTAGGTCCCTTTCGCCCTCTCCCCCCAGCACCTCACGGTGGAGAAGGTCCAGTCATTGAAGCCGTTGGGATCCCTGGGGCAAGAACACAGGAGACAGAGGAAGGTATGGAGCAGGGAACCGACCCCTTTCGCCCAGGGGCACTTTCTTACTGTAGTAGCAGCTGTGGTCTGAGCCACAGCCAACAGGAGGGTGCCATGAGGGGCCTTCAAGTGCAGGCCCTTGCCCTGATCTCAGGAGCTGAGGGGCTTGTGTCAACATGGTGAAGCGGAAAAAGCAAACGTGGAGAGAACACAGGCTTGGGAGTCCCATAGATCTAGGCTTATTGTTACTCTCTTGGGCACTTACTAGGTCTATGCCTTGTTTCCTCATTTGTAAAAGGAGGTTACAAAGTCGACTCTCCATCGTCTTTTTTTTGGTCATGCAGAGTGGTAGGCGGGATCTAGCTCTCTGGCCAGGAATTGAACCCAGGCCCTGCACTGGGAGCGCAGAGTCTTAGCCACTGGACTGCCAGGGAAGTCCCTCTCATCGTTCTCACAAGGATTGAAGAAAACATATGTAAAGTGCAGTGCCGAGCACGCTGTGAACACTTGAACAAGGCAGGTCACAAAGCCAGCGCCAGGGGAGTTTAGGGCAGGGCGAGTGTCCACTCAGCCCGGATCTCTTCCTGGACAAGGCACTCGCTGCAGAGAGAGCTCAGAAGGTAGGGGCACGAGTACGTACGAGTCCAAGATGCGGGGGGCGCCGATAAGGGACATCATGCCACTGGGGCAAAAGAGCTTCAGTTCCAAGCTGCCGCGTCGTGGGTGGGTGATAGAGACTGTCACAGCCACGTGCTCCAGGGTCTTCAGCCCCGACATGTCCAGGTCCGTCCTGCTGACTGTGGGAAGTCAGGCTGGGCAGCTGGGAAACCAGCCCCACAGATACTTACGCCCTCACTTCACCCACCAGACACAAAGGCATATACGAGTATCTTTGGCAACCCCGACTGAACCTTGTGAACAGTAGGAAAGGGAGTGCGCGTGCTCATTTCAAGCTCATAATTTAGTTTAGAGTCTAGTCGGGACGACAACACGTAACCAAGACACAAGACAAGAAAGAAATGGAGCCGTTCCCAACATTCATTCATCCAAAAAGTAATTTCCTGAGTACCTCCTACATCTCAGGTGCCGTACTAGACGCTGGGAACGTAAAGGTAAGTTGGCTATGGCCTCTGCCTTCTACCTGCAAGTGGAAAATGACGTCGTATGAGGTCCACATAACTGATGCCAGAGCAGAAATGAGGCAGACAGGTTTAGGCACTCAGTTGTGAGACACACTCTGAGGAAGGAAGTGAATACAGATTGGTAGAGAGTGTTGGTAGAGGTTAGTCTAGGAGGGGAAATGACACATATAAAGACAGAGGTAGAAATGAACAAGTTTCATATTAAAGGAAAGACAAGTTCTTTGAAAAAAACCAAAAACCAAAAAACTACTGAAGTGATGGCCTTCCTTGGTGGTCCATTGGTTAAGAATCCATCTGCCAATGCAGGGGACACAGGTTCGATCCCTGGTCCAGGAAGATTCCACATTCCATGGTGCAACTAAGCCTGTGTGCCACAAATAGTGAGCCCAAGCACTAAAACCACTGAAGCCCATGCACCTGGGGCCCGTGCCCTGCAACAAGGGAAGCCACCGCAATGAGAAACCTGTGCACTGCAGCAGAGAGTGGCCCTGCTTGCCACAACTAGGGAAACGCTGGCACACAGGAATGAAGACCCAATAGAGCCAAAAATAAATAAATAAAAAGATGAGCTATGCATTTAAACAAACAAACAAAAAACCACCAAAACTAGTGAAGTGAACAAATTTCAAGGAAATTGTACTGAAGGGAAAAAAGCCAATATAGAAAGGACACAGAGTGCACAATTTCATTTACATAATATTCATGAATAACGTTGACTGTGAAGATGGACAGATGAGTGGTTGCCAGGTGCTAGGGATGGGGCAGAGGGGTTGGGTGTGGCCCTAAGGGGTGACAGAGGAGTCCTGGGATGGGCTGGCTCTCGATCCTGATTGTGGTGGTGGTTACACAAGACTACACATGTGGTAAAATTGCATAAACACACTCACACACATACACATACATAGAGAATCTATATCTAACCAGTAAAATCTGAGTAAGTTCTGTGAGTTGGACCAATATAATTTTCTTGGTTTTCCTATTGTCCTATTTTAAGACATTTAACATCAGGAGAAGAGTGTATAGGACTTCCCTGAACAGTTCTTTGCACCCTCCTGTCAATCTACAATTATTTCAAAATAAAAAGTTAAAATAACAAAACAAAAAAAAAGTTAAAAAACCAAACTAGTGAAGTAGAAGACTCAGTTGAAGAATATTAAGAAATTAAGCTGCAATAAGAAATGCCTCTTTCCAAGACAACTTTTCTTCCATTAATTCAGGCCAACAGGCAAAGCAGAGAGCAACACCCAATTTAACAGACGAAGAAGCTCAGAGAGGAGGTGAGAGACGATGGGCATGGGACCTAGGGTAGGAAGGGCTTTAACATTTTTATTTTAAACACACAACCGAGAACTATTAGAGGTTACCGTGCAAAGATGGAGTTTTTAAAAAAGTGTTAAGGGGAGGTTACTCCTAACAGCTGTGGGTAGGCTGAATCGGAGTAGAAAGAAGAAACAGGTGACAGGAAGGCCAGCTACAATATCTGATTCTAGTCTAGAGGTGAGGCAGTGTGGGTGTGGATAACTGGTCAAAGAAGAAAGAGCGGGGAGTTCCCTGATGGTCCAGTGGTTAGGAATCCGAGTTTTCATGCCGAGGGCCTGGGTTCAATCCCTGGTCATGGAACTAAGATCCCAAAAGCCTTGAGGGACAGCCAAGGTGAAAAAGAAGAGAGGGGGAAGAAAAGGCTCAGGGCTTCCTGTGGCCCGTCCGTTCTTCCTGTTCGTCTAGGCCTTCCACTCAGTCTGCCTCTCACTGGGCTCACGTCAGGGAGGAGGGCCACCAGCCATTACCCGACGACACCAGTGTTCACGGTCTACCTGTCCAATGCCATCTCTTCACATCCCTCTCCTTCCTTGACTCCACAGACCTTTCTCCACCCCACGTCAGCACAGACTTCCACGGCCAGACCCCGGGCCTCGTCCTTATCTGGCACTGCTTCACTTCTGAATAGTTAGTAACTTCCCTTGTGGGATTTATTACATAAACAACACAAATTAGAACAGCAATTGAGCAAAAATGAGAACAAAAAAGGTCCTGCAATTCTTGATGCCATGTTGGTAAATACCCACTGAGCCTTCTCACTGCGTTTGTCTGTGTGCACGTGTGTCTTGTCTTGCACCCTCGCAACTCATGGAAGCCAGTGTTCCGCCTTCCCAGAAAGCAGCCAGCTGTCCCTCCGCTTTCTCCACTACCTTCTTTCTTTGGCTGCACCACGCGGCATGTGGGATCTTAGTCCCCCAACCAGCGATCAAATCCGCACCCCCTGCAGTGGAAGTGTGGAGTCTTAACCACTGGACCATCAACCAGGAAAGTCCCTCCACTGCCTTCTTGATTCCTTCATTTTCTTGCCCCTCAAGAGATCCATCAAGCTCTTCTTCCCTAACCGCCTAAGATCCCACAGCTCATCTCGCCAACACATTCTTATTTACATTCCCTTGTTTTCTTTTCCTTTCACAGTAACTATCTGGCAAAAGGCCAACACCGGATCAGACCAATTATACAGTCTCTTGGCTGGATTTTCTTGCTTACGCCTTTCCCACCACAAAGGAAAAACAAACCCTTTCTCAACTCATCACCTGTGCCTACTAGTGCTAAGAGCCTGGGCTCTGGAGCCACCCAGCCTGGGTTCAAATCCCAGGTCAGCCATTTACTAGCTATGAGAATTAGTTTCCTTATCTCTAACATGTCCCCTTTATATAGTTCATGGTTAGTCATTTTAAGATACAGCCTCTGTCTCCTGATTTCTGCTGTACCTGGGGGCTCCGGGCTCTGGAGAATAAACTTCCCAATTCCTGCCTCGATGAGAAAGGGGCCACCACCTGGCTGCTAAGCATGGGAGAAGTCACCCGGGCATCTGCCTTTTAACTGACACCTAGTTCTACTCTCATACCTCACCTTTGTCCTCTGTAGTACATGGGGCCTCCAAGTCCTGAGCCCTTTTTTTGGCCACATCGCATGGCTTGTGGAATCTTAGTTCCCATACCAATGAATGAACCTGGGCCCTGGCAATAAAAGCTCAGAGTTCTAACCACTGGACTGCAAGGAATTCTCAGCCCCGAGTCTTTGGAGATTCTGTAGTGTGAACGAGCTTGTTGCTAGGATCACTCCTGCAGGTATTTGGTTTGCAATTTTCTTAGCCCTGCTTACTTCACCATTCATTTCCTATCTTCCAAAAATGTACTGCAATCTCTACTTTGCTGTGATCTCTTCTCTCATTCTCTTTGTCCTTGTGCTCATTCCACTTTAATTCCTTCAGTCTTACTTTGGTGAGGCTGTACATATGTACATTTATATATGTGAAATTTACATACATAAAATTTTTACTATGCATGTAGGTGTGCTTAGTCACTCAGTTGTGTCCAACTCTTTGCAACCCCATGGACTGTACCCCATCAGGCTCCTCTGTCCATGGAAGTTTCTAGGTAAGAATACTGGAGTGGGTTGCCATTCCCTTCTCTAGTGTATCTTATTGACCCAGGGATCGAACCTGGGTCTCCTGAATTGTAGGCAGATTCTTTACCGTCTGAGTCACCAAGTGACACATTACAGAGCATAATAGAACGGAACAGAATCCTAAAAGAGACCTGAGTGCCTGTCTGTGTCAGCCTGTGTACAGAGTGGCCCACGTGCATTTACTTATTGGTGTGTACACGGACTTGGGTGGTCATGCATGTGAGAACATGAGATGTATTTTATTAGAATTGAGCTAGTATGTTAAATGAGTTAACCCTTAGGCCAGCGCTTGGCACATAAAAGGCATTTATCTTTTTTTTTTTGGCTGCGCTGCATGGCATGCAGGATCTTAGTTCCCTGACCAGGGGTGAAGCCCGTACCCCCTGCAGTAGAAGTGTGGAGTCTTAACCACTGGACCACCAGGGAAGTCCCAGAGGCACTCATCTTAGCTGATGATGATGATCATATTATTATTTTACCTTTAGCAACACAGGATCTTGCTCAACCACCACTGAGAAGATCCCAGGGCTTTATTTGCCCATCATCTTACGAGGCTAGAAAAACCTCTATCCTTGTCACTGTCCTTGTTCAGGGATCAGAATAAGAGATGTCAGTCTAGTAATCATTTGTGGAGAGGTGGCAGCTAAAGCCTTAAGTACAACTGGGCCATCGAGGACGAAGACGTAGAGGGAGGGTCAAGAACATGGCCTGAGTCTCAGAAGAAACTCATGGTTTGGAAGTAGTGAGGTGGGTGAAGAGAAAACCAAGTTCCTCAGGCAGAGAAGCCAGAAGAGGAAAATGGAGCAAAGGAGGTCACCGGAGCCACAGGAGAAGCAGGGAGGAGGAGGTGGAGGAGGTGGAAGGCTGCCACACAGGCCTCGCTAATCTGGTCCGACAACAGGGCTGAGCATCATCGACCAGGATGAGCTGTGAGCTGGCCCCAGGTCTGAGCCTGAGAGGGGCACCTCAGAGGGATGAAGTAAGTCTTCAGCAGTGGAGGGATGGTGATAAAGGTGAGCAGTTGCTTTGGTCAGTTCATTTGAAAAGGTTACTACTGGCTGGAGGCAGTCAGGGACTTAAAGGTGTTTCCTAACAGATGTGCTGAGGGTGTTGGAAGGCAGAAGGAGGAATCAATGGGGAGGGAAAGACTGGGCAGGAGAGGAAGATTTGGAGCCAGGAAGGAACAGGACTGAAACATGGCTGGCAGCGGGTGGTGGTATCCAGCTGGGGCTGCAAAATAAAAGGGTATTTGCAAGAGGTGTTCAGGAATCTTCTGTAAATACACACAGGCTCCCTTGTGTTTGAGATACACTTCCCAAGCCCCCCCCTCCCTCCCGCCCTCCAAAGACATTTCAGACCCAGAGTCAGAGCTAAAGAACCGAGGGGCCCTCCTGCCAATGGGGAGAAATGACAACCTGTCTTGCTCTAGAGCTGCCTGGCCTAAGAAGGTGGCACCCGTCACATATGGCTATTTAAAATCAATTACAGGGTCTTCCTTGGTGGTCTAGTGGTTAAGAATCTGCCTTGCAATGAAGGGGACATGGGTTCAATCTCTGCTCGAGGAACTAAGATCCCTTGTGCCACAGAGCAGCTTAGCAGCACAAATGGAGAACATTTCCACCATCATAGAAAGTTCTCTTGGTCACCACTGCTCTAGAGTCTTGGCATTTCACCTCCTTTTCCATCTCAGGAATATTCATTTCCTTCTATCTTACAAAAAAGTTCACCTGCCAGCCCCTGGACACTGACATGCCCAGGTCTTGGTGGGAAAGACTATCACCTGGCCATAGGGGGAGAGGTTTGCTGACTGTCCAGGACTGAGTTGCTTAGCTCTACATGAATTTGACTGACTTCCTCCAGCTTCCAAGAATCCCCACGAGTCTGGACCTTCAGTTCTGTCTGGAGTCACAACAACAGAGGGGAAGACATCTTTGCTGACCCTGGAGATCAGCAGACTGCTGGCCGCCCTCCAAACCAGTGAAGGGCTCCATCAGCAAAACTCGCTGGGTCCACCTCCCTTCTCTCCATCTTTCTCTCTCCTACTCCAGCTCCTGCTTTCCTCCTCCCAGGACAATCTGTCCTTCTTCCTCCTGCTTCTTCGTGACAAACAAGCAGTTTCCAGATGCCTCTGTACCGAGGGAAGTTTGTCAGACATGCCGGGGGAATGTCCCTGGTTAGTGGGAGGCAGAGGATGATGAAGTTGAAAAGGACCCTAACCCGCTTCTAAGCTGACCCTCTCACTTGATGGATGTGACTGTGGGTTACTGTTACTTAAATGAGAGGCAGCAGCTCTGGATAGGACGTAATAAAAGTTAAAAGATGTACTGTCTCCAAGACATGTGAGTAAAAAGCCCAGAGGTTCCTATTTGAACTGCATTCCTGGGAATGTTCCTGCACTCCTCTGACTTGGCTGATGCTTTATGCCCTTTCCAAGAGAGCATTCCTTTTACGGAAAATGCAATGAACCGGGCCCATGGATTTTCTTCCACGTAGAGGGGAAACTGGGCAAGTGCTGGACGTGGTTAGGGAGAGAGAGACAACGGAACTCTTCCAAGCCAGGGGAGCAGCCCCAACCCTCCCTTCCACGCTCCCATCTTTGGCCATCCCTCCTCGTGGCCACTGGCTGGTCTGATCACTTCCTAGGAGGATGAGAACAGCAAGGACAAAGCTCCACCTGGGTACAAAGCATGACATGCTTCCGACTTTACAAAACACAGTGGGTAACTGCCTGTTAAAATTCCTTGAGGAAAAAAAAATCCCCCCAAAACTGGAAGTACAGAAAACTCTCCAGTGGCAACTCTGGGAAGTCCACAGAGAGATGATCCTTTAGCACAGTACCCCAGCCCACCCGCACTCCGCACTCTTCTCTGGGAAGGGGTTCAACCTCTGGGCTCAACACAAGACTACGTCTCAGACTGCGCACAGACAGCCCTCACCCCTTCGGACAGTCCCGTGGCCCCGTGGGATGGAGGCGGAGGCAGAGGGAGGGCCACTCCAGTCTAGAGAGCCCTCTGGGGACTCCTCTGTCCTCCCCCTGACAGGTCCCAGCTGACTCTGTAATTAGACAAGCCTGAGAATCAAAGGGAGACATTCCCAGCTCCTTCACTTCATCCAAAGCCCACTGGGCTGCAGAAGATCATCTGGCAAGTTCCTAGCATGGAAGTCAAAGGAACGTCTTTCGACTTGTGCCTGTCTCCCCAGGTCCCGGGTCCAGCCCTCCAGCCAGCCTTCCTAATGGCTTGCTCAGCAGCTCCCTCCCACCACCCGTAACTCTGGAGAAAGGTCTCTCAAGCAGCCCGGGGCCAGCCAACTCAGAAGCAGCAACATGTCCTAAAATGGTCAAAGAGAACGCCACAGATCTGGCTGGAGCTCAGCTCCTAAAGGAAGGGGTAGGACCAGCAGGAGGACGAGTTTAACTTCTCCATCACCCCGCCCTGAGCCTCTGGCCCAGGATTAACCCCCTTTCTGCTGACTGCTTACCATTCCACAGCACCTCCAGGGGGCGGGCGGACAGCGGGATCGCCTTGTTCTCTTTCAATACAGGGCTGACGTAGGAAGCTAAGTAAGGGACAGATGTCCAGACCTGTGAAAGACAGAGGGGGCGGTGAATGAACAAATGGACAGGCCTCGCACACCCAACCTCACCTACGTGACCCCTAGGGCCGCACTCTTTTTATTTCTCCCTTAATCATCACTGTCTCTCATTCTGCAGACACCCTGGACTGCTCCCTACGGCATCACAACACGGAAGTGGGGGACATGCTGTGTCCAGGGCAGCAGATGGGGAGCTGAGCACCCTGAGGGCTCCATGAGACACTGAGGTCTCATTTACTCTCCTGTCAGTTTAAGAAACTTTATAGAGTGTTGAGCCTGCTTCTTCATGGGTAAAATGGGTCTCGGGTTAATGAACATCTATTGAGCACCTACGACGTGCCGGGCAGTGTTTCAGGCATTTGGCCCGGCCCCTCGGCCCCTCCGTGCAGGACAGCCATTCACCTTGGCGGCGTTCACGAGTCTCCAAGCATTGAGCAGGCCGAATCCATGCTGGTGGCTGTGGCTGAAGCCGGCCTCGTTGGTGATCCAGTCTGCGCGGTGGTCCTCGTACTGACAGCACAGGGGTCCTGGTGAGCCTTGCAGATTTTAGGTTGCCTGACTCGCCCTGATGGCTGATGCAGCCCAGACTCTCCCACCAAGGCTGCTAGGAAGGGACTCCCCGAGGAAAGCTGGGACAAAAGGGCAAAGCCCTGTGATGTCTCCAGCCCAGTGGCCTGCTTACAGAGAGGGACCTGGGAGCCTGCCCAGAATGCCCCTTTGCAGGTGACATGGCAGCAGCAGGACAGGGACAAGTGAACTCAGGTCTACGGTCTCAGCAGGGTCTCCACACTGCTTCCATAGGAACGCAACTCTGGGAGACACTGGCACCTAACGCCTGGGACGTTAGAATCCGAACCTCCTGATACCTTCAAGCCCTTGGGACCAAAACTCTGAGGTGGGCTGGGCCAGGCCATGCATCTGCCTGCGAAGGGCTCACCCGGGTGGCCGTGAAGACAATGATGTGCTGGACGTCACGCCACGTGAGGCAGGGCCGCACCTGCAGCATCAGGGCTATCATGCCAGCAGCCAGGGGCGCGGCGGCTGAGGTCCCCGTGTGGCCCTCCGTGCAGCCGGTGCCCTTCTGAAGGTCCCAGTCAGTGGTCACCTGGGGAGCAGAATGGGGGGGATGGGGGCTGGTTAGGGCCTGAGTTCCCAGGGGCAGTTGGGGGAGGGGGCGGGGTGGGGCCTCAGAGTGAGCAAGTCTCCCGGTGACCATTCTGTTTGGCAAGTCAGGATGAAGGAGATTCTTCATCCTCTTGGGCCTTACAGGAGAATCTCTGGAAAGCTGAGGAAAACCAGTTACTCTGAGGGTTTTGGCTGCAGTAGCGCGGAAAGGAGGTGGAGGGGGAGAGGCCTCATGGGTCCTGATTCCTGCTCAGCTGATGACCCCTTCCCCAATCCCCCGCCCCAACCCGCTCCTACTCCTGCAGCAGTGGAGACAGAGGAGTGGCTGGGAGCTCCGGGGCCCCCAGCTGGAGCTGGGACAACAGTGACGGCACCAGGTGAGGAACTCCGGCTTGGCGGCTCAGAGACGGGGCTGGCCTGATGTCAGTGTGAACAAAGGGAGTGTATCCCAGGGAGAGGACACTGTACCCCTCACCCAATGGTGGGCTCAGCAGGGGTGGAACATCTACACTGCTGCCCACCCTGGCCAGTGGCGATCGACGGGCCAGGCCACATCCCTGCTTGGGGCCAAGTGCCTCAGGTCCCCCTTCTCTACCTGCAGCTCTAAGGTGGGAGGTGAGAGTGGGGGTGGGGGTTGAGGGGGAGGGACATGGCACCTGTTTGGTATCCAGTTCTTTCCACGTTCTCATCCTCCCTGGAGCCACAGAGGGTGGAGCCAGCGAAGGCCCTGCCTGAATCCACTCCAGCCCATGGCCCTCTGGATCTAGCACGTGGTGCCCATGCTAACACTAGAACATCTTTTCCTTCCAGGCTTCTCTCCTGGGTCGGATACCAAGGTGCTGCCTTCTGCCAAGAGCTGCCCTTTCTCTACTGTCCTCACTGCTTGCCTTCCAGCTGTTATAGCAGCTGCCAAGACATGTCATTTCCACTCAGAAGTCACACTCTTACAGAAGAGAAGGGAAAACTCTCCAAGTGGAAGTCTCAGTGAGGGTGGGAAGCCTGGTCTGTGCCAGGGAGCAGATTAATTTTTTCCTGTTATGGAAACAGCCTCACAGTGACAGTCCAGTCTGGAGCCGGGAGGCCCGTGAACTTGCCTCCGATGGCAGGAGCCCCGGGCAGAAGACGGCGGGGTGGCGTGTGCCTCCGTGCCTGCCCTTGGGGAGGCAGCCCCATCGAGCTGGTCATTGAACAGAAACTGGCAACTGGTTTCCAAGACAGGAACAACCCAAAGATGGGAGGTTGGCTGAACAAACTCTCTTTGCATTTCTGGACAAATTACAGTTCAGATGGAAAGTGGTGGGGGTGAAGCAGACTTGACTCCGGAGGAGAAACTAGTATGTCCGGTAACTTCTTGGCCCCCCGACTGTGGCTGGGGTGAGTAAGAGTTCTGCCAGGATGTTCCTGCTGTTCCTCCCCCTCCAGCCTGGCCCGGGCTGGAGGTAGGTGGTGCCTCTCTGCACCCAGACCCCTGTCTGTTAAGCAAAGTCTCCTGCCCACTTACTTTAGCTCACTCCCTTTTTTCTTCTCCCAGGGTGGGGGACAGAGCTGGGGTCACCTGGCCCGGAGCCTTGGAACATTGTATTGACCAGAAGTCATTGAGCGGCAAAAACAGAATTTTAGTTTGGAAAGAGTATTTGACCCAGAGGCAGCAGCCCAATTCCCAACGGCCCCAGAGAGTCCTCCCAAGCGCGAGCCACTGGAGAAATGTGACCCCGGCTGGCTGCAGCCCAGCCCTGCCCGAGAGCCCCGTCCCCGGGTCACTCTGTTACGGGCATCGGGATGGCCAGGGAACTCTAGGATGATGGGCTGGAGCTGAGCCAGCTGTGGGTAGGCACTGCACTCTGAATTCCTTCACAGGTTCCCACAGCTTGAGAAACTCCACTTCCTTGCTCCAACCTCTTGTTTGCTGTGACTCCAAGCCCAGCTCCAAGGAAAGAGCTGTCTCTGGGGCTGATGGGGACATTCCAGACTCCTTTTCCCATCCATGCGGTGCAGACAACCACTAGCTTTACTCCTGAGGATGAACAGGATCAAAACTCGCAGTATTTACATAAGGACTGCATAGCAATGCAATGATGATTTTTTTTTCAAGCCCACAGAAATTAGCCAAAGCCTGTATTCTACCAAAGGAAGACATATCAAAGGTTCTTTCATCAATGTGTGCTCAGAGTGATTTCTATAAAGATACGCATATTTGTTAAGTTAAAAATTTAAAGATGAAGGAGCTTCCCTCCTGGCTCAGTGGTAAAGAATCTGACAGCTAATGCAGGAGACACAGGTTCAATCCCTGGGCTAGGAAGATTCCACATGCCTCAGGTTAACTAAGCCCTTCCAGCACAACTACTAAGCCCATACGCGCTCTGGAGCCTGGGAGCTGAAACTACTGAGCCCATGTGTCCCAGAGCTCGTGCTCTGCAGCAAGAGAAGCCCCCCAGTGACAAGTCCAGACAGTGTAACAACAGAGCCCCCCACTTGCCAAAACTAGGGATAAGCCCCTGAAGCAAGGAAGATCAGCACAGCCATACATAAATAAGGAAGATTTTAAACAATTTAAAGATTAAAATCCCTTTACACAGATACATTTAGAGTCCTCAACTCCATTCTGCCAACAGGGGCAGACTCTTAGGGAAACAGATCTGCTAGGGAAGAGGATCCCGAGAGCCGGGCTGGGGAGCAGAGGGCGGGTGTAGGGGACAGGGCACTCACGATGCTCCGGAGCATCTTGTCCCCTCCGCTGAAGGTGACTGCCAGCATGGAGGCACACTCCTCGGCATAGAAAGGCATTCGGCCCTCCTCATCCACAGCGCCTGGGGGAGGAGCAGGGAAATGGGAGCGGAGGTGAGGGTCTCAGAACATCAGACTTAGCTCTGATCTTAGTTATCATCGAGGGGTTGGTCCTGGGCTTAAAAAATGATCTCAGTGGTCCAAGTCCTTCAAGTACCCACACGCCCCGCCCCCACTCCCGGAAAAGTGGTCTCAAATGGCAGAGGGTAGTCTGTGCAGAGACCATTCTTTCAGCAGACTGCAGGGGGTGGCCCACTCGACACAGACTCATTCATTCACACATGCGATAATCAGTTACTTATGGGTTATCTACTGCAAGTCACACACTGTATGAGTGACAGATGGGGGCTGTGGGGAAGGGCCACAGACCTGATCTCAGGGAGCCCATAGTCAGGAGGGAGGTCAGGGAAGTAAACACAGCTGGGATGGTAAATGCCTACAGTAGGGAGCACAGGTACAAGGCAGTTAATTTAGGCTAGTGTGGCGGGGAGGTCAGGGAAAGTTTCAAGGAGGGAAACTACCTGTGGGAAGAGAGGTTGGAGCAGAGGTCTAACCAGCTATGGTGGTGGATGTGGGGGCTGGGGGCACAGAGGGGTTTATCTCAGATGATGGGTAGAAAGTGCTCCTGGGTATAACTCATAAGGAAGTCCTGACCTCCCCTAAGAGCAGGGCTAGTTCCTCCTCACTATCAGAGTCTGAAGAGAAGACTGCACACACATTCAGACAGAAACATGGAAGCTGGGGGCACACCCAGATCCATGGTCCCCTCACTTCTGAGTGACACACACAATCACACACTCTGAGATACAGGGTCCCCTCACCCCTCACACACACCCAGATATACAGTCCCTTCACCCCTGAGTGACACACACAATCACACACACTGAGATCCATGGTCCCCTCATCCGAGTGACACACACCATCACACACACTGAGACACATGGTCCCCTCACCCCTCACACACACCCAGATATATAGTCCCCTCACCCCTGAGTAACACACACCATCACACACTCTGAGATACATGGTCCCCTCACCCCTCACACACACCCAGATATACAGTCCCTTCACCCCTGAGTGACACACACCATCACACACACTGAGATACATGGTCCCCTCACCCCTCACACACACCCAGATATACAGTCCCCTCACCCCTGAGTGACACACACAATCACACACTCTGAGATACATGGTCTCCTCACCCGAGTGACACACACAATCACACACACTGAGACACATGGTCTCCTCACCCCTAAGTGACACACACAATCACACACACTGAGATACATGGTCTCCTCACCCCCAAGTGACACACACAATCACACACTCTGAGATACATGGTCTCCTCACCCGAGTGACACACACAATCACACACACTGAGACACATGGTCTCCTCACCCCTAAGTGACACACACAATCACACACACTGAGATACATGGTCTCCTCACCCCTGAGTGACACACACAATCACACACTCTGAGATACATGGTCTCCTCACCCCTGAGTGACACACACATATACACACACTGAGATACATGGTCTCCTCACCCCTGAGTGACACATACAATCACACACACTGAGATACATGGTCTCCTCACCCCTCACACACACCCAGATATACAGTCCCTTCACCCCTGAGTGACACACACCATCACACACTCTGAGATACATGGTCCCCTCACCCCTCACACACACCCAGATATACAGTCCCCTCACCCCTGAGTGACACACACAATCACACACTCTGAGATACATGGTCTCCTCACCCGAGTGACACACACAATCACACACACTGAGACACATGGTCTCCTCACCCCTAAGTGACACACACAATCACACACACTGAGATACATGGTCTCCTCACCCCTGAGTGACACACACAATCACACACTCTGAGATACATGGTCTCCTCACCCGAGTGACACACACAATCACACACACTGAGATACATGGTCTCCTCACCCGAGTGACACACACAATCACACACACTGAGACACATGGTCTCCTCACCCCTAAGTGACACACACAATCACACACACTGAGATACATGGTCTCCTCACCCCTGAGTGACACACACAATCACACACTCTGAGATACATGGTCTCCTCACCCCCGAGTGACACACACATATACACACACTGAGATACATGGTCTCCTCACCCCTGAGTGACACACACAATCACACACACTGAGATACATGGTCTCCTCACCCCTCACACACACCCAGATATACAGTCCCTTCACCCCTGAGTGACACACACCATCACACACTCTGAGATACATGGTCCCCTCACCCCTCACACACACCCAGATATACAGTCCCTTCACCCCTGAGTGACACACACCATCACACACTCTGATATACATGGTCCCCTCACCCCTGAGTGACACACACAATCACACACACTGAGACACATGGTCTCCTCACCCCTGAGTGACACACACAATCACACACACTGAGATACATGGTCCCCTCATCCGAGTGATGCACACCATCACATACACTGAGATACATGGTCCCCCCACCCCTCACACACACCCAGATATATAGTCCCTTCACCCCTGAGTGACACACACAATCACACACTCTGAGATACATGGTCTCCTCACCCCCGAGTGATACACACAATCACACACACTGAGATACATGGTCTCCTCACCCCCGAGTGACACACACAATCACACACTCTGAGATACATGGTCTCCTCACCCCCGAGTGACACACACAATCACACACTCTGAGATACATGGTCTCCTCACCCCCAAGTGACACACACAATCACACACTCTGAGATACATGGTCTCCTCACCCCCAAGTGACACACACAATCACACACTCTGAGATACATGGTCTTCTCACCCCCAAGTGACACACACAATCACACACACTGAGATACATGGTCTCCTCACCCCCGAGTGACACACACATATACACACACTGAGATACATGGTCTCCTCACCCCCAAGTGACACACACAATCACACACTCTGAGATACATGGTCTCCTCACCCCCAAGTGACACACACAATCACACACTCTGGGAGATACACGGTCTCCTCACCCCCGAGTGACACACACATATACACACACTGAGATACATGGTCTCCTCACCCCCGAGTGACACACACATATACACACACTGAGATACATGGTCCCCTCACCCCCGAGTGACACACACATATACACACACTGAGATACATGGTTTCCTCACCCCCGAGTGACACACACATATACACACACTGAGATACATGGTCTCCTCACCCCCGAGTGACACACACATATACACACACTGAGATACATGGTCTCCTCACCCCCGAGTGACACACACATATACACACACTGAGATACATGGTCCCCTCACCCCTGAGTGACACACACAATCACACACACTGAGATACATGGTCCCCTACCTCTGACACCCCCCCACCCAGTTACAAGTCTCCTCACTGCTGCGTCTCTCTCTCTCGCACACACACACACATGCACCCATGCACTGTGGGACCACTGGGTCCACTACCTATGGTGACGGTGTAGATGGAGTTGGCGTAGCCATCGTAGTTGCAGTTGTCGTTGTGCTGGCCCCCATTGCCACTGGCCACCACAAAGATGCTCCCAAAGCCCTGGCGGCCAGCGATCACCCCATGCTGCAAGGCAGCCTGAGGAGCAAAACACCCAGGTCAGCTGTGAGGAACTCACAGGAAGACCCTACCCCGCATGCCACTCGCCCTCCTGTCCCCTTCTAGAAGGAGAAGAAAAAAAACCACAAGGGCATTGGACAAGGGAGAAAGAGACTTAAAGACGGACTTAAGAGGGTAAGGGGGCTATTAGTGGAACAACTGCTTGATGGATGTGCTCTGCTTCTCAGAGAAGGTGGGGCCAGAAATGGGGAGCCAGCGCAAAATCAGAGCAAAGCACCACTTCATTCTAAGAATGTCCCCCTCACCCCTTCACCCTGGGGCAGGAGTGCTGTTCCCAAAGGAGGGGTTGGGGCTACAAGGCAGGTCTGGGGGAGGGCGGGAGCAGTTCCGGGAACAGAATGAAGGGGGCGAACTTGGTCCCCAAAGTCTCCACGGTTCCCAGCTACCTTCCCCAGCTGGTGGGGGCCGTCCACCGTCTTCCCGTCATCGTCTGGTCCCCAGCTGTGGAGAGACACCCAGTGGGAAGAGCCAGGGCCAGGCCGTGGCTGCCCACCCAGCCCAGCCTCAGTGGGCTGTGCCTCTGCCCCACGCTTCCCCTCCTCCCAAGGGCTCCAGCCCAGGACTTGCGAGATGAAAGGATGTTAAGAGTCCAGCCCTCACTCCAAAGTGGAAAACAGAAGGACGTGCTAACGTTCTTGTCCTTGGAAACCTTCCCAGTTCAGGACTACTCTAACCTACTCCTACAAACCCCTTCTCAGGTCCCCAGGGAGTACAGGGTGGCGGAAAGGGACGAGAGGCCACCCCTTCCCCACCGAAGGAGCTAATTCTAGGCCTGATGGCAGAGCACCTGGAAAGGAAGCAAACAACCTGTGTAAGCTGTCTAGGAGATCTCTGTCCTTTCTCTAAGTGTGGAGCACGTCATGTATCTACAGGAGATGCTGGCCGGGGAAGAACAGGCTGCTGTCAATGCAGCGCGAGCAGCCCAACCTCAGCTCCTCCTGATTCATCCGCCCCCTTCCTACCAGATCCACAACCCAGAGCTGCCGGTGCGTCCCTGGGTGGGGGCAGAGGGGCTTTGCGCTGGGTATTCAGCCCAGCTGTGGTAGGACAGGAATCCTCAATTTCTCCCAGAGCATTACGAGTTTATTAAATAAACACGAGGAGGGATGGAACCCTCCTTGTGTGGCAACCTGATCATTGGGTGACTTGGGGCTTACGATGGAGAACCCAGAAGCTGGGGGTCTGGAGAAATGAGGGCTGTGGACTCACAGGTTGTACCCCAAGGGAGAGCCCCCCCACCCCCACACCGCTGTTCTCTGGTTGGGGGATTCGCCCAGTGCCCCCGCCCCTGGCCCCTTTCCCTGGCTCCTGGCTGTACCTCACCTGCAGCTGTAGATGTCGTTGATCTGATAGTGCTTGTTGAACGCCACGGCCTCCATGCTGTCTGTCAGGGGTCCATCCAGCACCCGGATACCTAGGCAGTGTAGGCCATACCAGCTCCTCAGTAAGGCAGGTCTCCTAGATGGGGAGCCGGGTGGTGGTGGGGGCCCCCTGTGGAGACTTACTTTTCTAAGTGCTCTAGGATCTTTTTAATTTTTATACCATGTGCATGTACTTGGCCAGAAATACTTTCTAACATAATGCTAAATCTTAGACTTTATGGATCCTGGGGTCTGGTGGGCAGAGGCATAGGCTAGAAGGTAGGGAATCCAAAGCTCCCTTTTTTCATGCATCCTTTATCACGTAAAACACTGCTTAACACACAAGAGGGTATTCAACAGATGGTTCTCAGCCCGTTGCTCCTCCCATGGAGGTCTAGTCTCACTTTCTAAGATGGGGCAGGTCACATCCTGGTGCAGCTCTCAGAAGGGACCTGGGCTCCCTCCCTCTATAGTCTCACTTACAGAGAGGGCTGCTGACCCCTGCTGGACTATAAGAGGAATGCAGCCAATCTGGTCGAGCCTCGTAAGTGCAGGCTCCAAGCATTTATGAGAAATCACCAGAAGGGCGTCTGCATCCATTCTCTTCACCCTCTGCCTTGATGGACAAAGACCAAGAGGCCGAGGAGCCATAGAACCACCCCAGTATGGACCAGGGCCACTCAGCTCTCTTGAAAAGATGGGGAACAGACAGTGACCGTCAGCAGGGGCAGGAGCTAAAGAGCTGGGAGAAGGGAGAAAGGCCTCCACAGACACACAGGATCAAGAAAGAGGGGGAGATGAGGAGGCCATTGGTAAACTGTGAAAATACAAAAATGTGGATAAGTAAAAGGAGCTATCATTACAGTGAGCTGAGCACTGATGGGGCATAACCATGATCAGAAAAAGGGAAGTGGAGTCTGAGCAGGTGGGCTTGGGTCTCCATCTCTCATCCAGCTCATTTTCACACTCTCAGCTGTTTTATATAGTCGTGCGTGCTCAGTCGTGTCCGATTCTTTGTGACCCCACGGACCCCGCCAGGGTCCTCTGTCCATGGAATTTTCTAGGCAAAAATACTGGAGTGGGTTGCCATTTTCTACTCCAGGGGATCTTCCTGACCCAGGGATTAAACCCACATCTCTTGTGTCTCTTACATTGATTGACAAGTGAATTCTTTACCACTGAGCCACTTGGGAAGCCCTTTTTAAAGTGGGGTTTGCTGCTAAAAACATGTTAGAAACACCAAAGCACTGAGAAAAAAAATCAATGAGCTGATCTGCCCTGCTGATACCTATTTATAAGTGTACCTTTTGCTTTCTGCTGTGTGTTGAAGGGGTAATAAAGTCGTGTTGGAATTCAAGACAGAGGGACAGAGGATGAAGACAGCAGTCACGGGGGGGTGTACTGAGGCTGGACCGGAGGTACCTGCTATGCGGCTCCCAAACGCCACTCCCACGGCACAGAAGCTGTTGTTGGGCACAGCGGCAATCTCGCCCGCGCAGCGCGTGCCATGGTGATTGCCATTCTCCACGTCCGGGTGGGGCATGGGGTCAGGGTCGTTAGAGTTGAGGTCATAGCTGCCCTCAGGGCTCTGAAACGTGGCGGGGGAAGAAGGGGGAGATGTGGTCACTCACTAGTTCCGACCGGTCAGGTCTTCGAGCTCAGGGAGAGAGGAGAACTGGGGGTTTGGGGCTCCGAGCCAACACCAAGGGCCCATCTCTGCATAAGGACAGGACACCACGGGCAACGCTGAGAAGTGCTGTGTGCTGTGCTGTGCCAAGTTGCTTCAGTCATGTCTGACTCTTTGCGACCCCATGGACTGTAGCCCACCAGGTTCCTCTGTCCATGGGATTCTCCAAGCAAGAATGCTGGAGGAGTTTGCCATTTCCTTCTCCAGGGGATCTTCCTGACCCAGGGATTGAACCTTTGTCTCTTAGGCCTCCTGCATTGGCAGGCAGGCTCTTTATTACTAGTGCTAGGAGATATGCTATAGCTCTAGGCAAACTTCTCTCTTGTTATTATAGAAACATGCCCAGGAGCTGCTTCCATGGTGGGAAGCCTGAGATAAAAGAGGCTTCCGGCTACTTAAAGGGCAGGCTTTACAGAGGGGGAGGCACTGGGACTTGAGTGGAGAGGGAAGTTGCCCAGGGCCACTCCTTACTCCCCAGGGCAGGGAGTGGCAGCAGGATCCAGGAAGTATCTCTCTGCTGAGCTGGAGCCTATGTCCCAGCTGCCAGGCCACAAGGCCACCTGGGGGAGAGGAGCAGATGAAGAACAACATCCTACCTCCCAGGCCCTTTCCTCTGGCCCAGAAAGAGGTCACTGGGAAAGCGAACAGGCCTGAGACAACATCAAGAATCAGGTAAGGCCTGGGGGTGGGACTGATACCAGGGCCACTCACGTAGTTGGGTGCGATGTCCTGGATGGTGTGCTCCACGCCGTCGTCCACGACCACCACGGTCACCCCACGCCCGGTGACATTGCGCTCCCAGACACCCGTCACATTGATGTCCCTGCCAGGGCTCCGCCGGTTATTCTGGGGGAGACACGGGGTCAGGAACTGCTCTCTGGGCCTTGGGAGTCCTGAGATGTGCAGCACGGCCCATAGTGAGACAAGTACAGTGAGCAGCCCCTTCTCACTCCTGGCTGCTGTCAGGGAGCCAGAGAGAGGGGTAGACAAACAGGGGTAGGTGGGATGGGGCCAAGGAGGGGACCTGTGAGAGCTCTGCCACAGCACAGGTGTGCTTGGCATCACTCATGGGCAACAAGGGTGAAACAGTGACTAGGGTTAAGGGTTGGGGATTAATATGCCATATGATATACATTGGGACTTCCCAGATGGCACGAGTGGTAAAGAACCTGCCTGCTAATGCAGGAGATGTAAGAGATGCAGGTTCAATCCCTAGGTTGTGAAGATCCCCTGGAGAAGGGCATGGCAACCCACTCCAGTATTCTTGCCTGAAGAGTCCCATGGACAGAGGAGCCTGGTGGCTACAGTCCATGGGGTCACAGAGTAGGATGTGAGGGAAGTGACTTAGTACCCACTGCATGCATGATATACATTATATTAACATTGTATAATATAACATTACTAGCTAACCCCACACAGGCATGATATACATTATATTAACATTGTATAATATAATGTTACTAGCTAACCCCCTCACAAGCATGATATACATTATATTAACATTGTATAATATAACATTACTAGTTATCCCCAGCACAGGCATGATATGCATTATACTAACATTGTATACTATAACGTTACTAGCTAACTCTTGTAAAGTGTTTCCCATGTGGCCGGCACACATACATTAGTTCACTTAACTGTAACCGTCTCCGTTAACAGAGAGGTTAAACAGTGCACTCAAAGGCACAAGCTAGTGAGCAGCAGGCAGCCCCAGCGGCCTGGCCCCAGCACCCGCGCCAGGCACCGCAGTCCTCTAGCTCTCTGCGAGTGAGCACAGGGCACGTGGAGCCCGAGGATGAAGCCTACCATCAAAGCCCACGGAAATGTCTCTGTGGATGGGAGGCCCCTGAAGAGTTAACCCCAACGGCCACTAGAGCACCGGGTACCCCCGCCCTGGCTGTGTGAAGCTGGAAGCGGCCAGGCGGACTCACCAGGTGCCACTGCTGCGGGTACTTGGGGTCGTTGAAGTGGACGCTGCGCTTGGTCCGCTTGAGTAGTCTCTGCTCTGCGTGCCAGCGCACAGCCTCGTGCCCAGCCAGCACGGCTTCCACCTGCTGCCGGATGGCCTCGGCCTGCCGGGCCTGGCGACGCCCCACCGGCTGGACCAAGAGGTAGTGCCCCTGAAGCTCCCCGATGCGCCCTGCGTTCATCAGCCCCGTCGCCTGGGCCAGAGCCTCTGCCCGCCGCTCCAATGACTCCTCTGCCCCCTTGCCTTCCGGACCGTCCAGACACACTGCCCAGCTTAGCCCCCCTGGGCCCTGGGTCCTGAGCCCACCTGCCCCCACCAGGCCCATAACCCAGGGAAGCAGTAGGAAGAGCCCAGCTAACTCCAGCCAGAGGCCTGTGGGCAGGCCCAGGGGGGCATCCGAGTGTGGCCTTCTCTGCCTCCCTTTCGGCATCAGAGCAGTAGGCTGCGGACAAACAGAAGGACATCAGAGGTAAGAGAGCTGATAACGGCAGGAATCTCAGGGGGCAACTGAGCACCAATGTATCACACCCGGAGACTCCTAACCCATGCTTTTTAAATCATTAAACGTGTGATCCTCTCTTTTAATTCACATTGATCTCTGACCAACAGGGATAAGCCCCTGGGGGGAGTGGGGAGCCAGCACTAAGCCTAGTGGGTCCTTCCATGACATGATTATCACAAGACAATCAAGCAGGAGGTCCAGCTGCTAAAAGGCACCACACTGCTCTTCCCCACTGTTGCCATCTTGAGCTCAGAAGTTGTATCACTCCTGCCAATTCCTGGCAGCTCCATGATTTTTCTTTAGAAGAGACCTTCCTCCCTTCTTTAGAGGGGACAGAAATCTTCCCCCAACTGACTTCTCAGACCCATCCGTGGTCTTGAGGGCTAACTTCCTGCAGTGGGGCCCCGTTCCCACCTGGACTCAGAGTGAGGCTGAGCTCCTGGTCTGGTTAACCACCTCACGCTCATTTTGTGCAAATGGAGAAAAGGCATTCCTTCCGCTGTGAGTAGCGGTGACTCTCAGCACAGACCGCAGACCTGTAGGCCCCAAGAAAACAAGAAATGGTGTCCTCCCAAACCCAGTGGAGCAGGTAGAGGCTAGCCAGGAACCCTGGGATCTGTGACCAAAGAAACTGCCAACGATCACCTGCAGGAATCTCAATTAGGTCACAGACTGGAACCAAAGTGGTACAGTAAGGCCAGATGGGTACAAAACCCAGAAACCCTACTTTTCATCCTAAACATCAGGCCATCCTCTTCTCTTCTTTTCCTAGATGCCTAGAAGAGGGCTTGAACTCTTACCCAAAACTCCTCTTGAAAAAGTAGATAGGGGATTTCCCTGGTGGTCCACTGGCTACGACTCTGCGCTCCCAATGCAGGGGGCCTTGGTTCGATCCCTAGTCAGGGAACTAGATTCCACAAGCAGCAACTAAAGATCCGGCATGCCACAACTAAGACCCAGTGCAGCCAAGATAAATAATAGATAAATAAATAATAATAATAAAAAAAAGAACAAAAAAGTAGGTAGTACTGCTTCTTAGAAGTCTGGGTCGTAGCTCACTTCCTGGTTTCTGTACCTGTGAAGGATGCCAGGGGAAGTAAGAGTAGGAGGAGGTGGGGGGGGGGGGCGGAAATGGGGAAAAGCCCAGAATGCAAACAAAACTGAACAGGAATAAGAGGCAAGTGGGTGGGGTGGGGACTGGAAAGCACCACTACAGGGCTTCCCTTGTGAAGTGTTGTAGCTCAGCAAGTTGTGAAGTGTTCTAAACCTGGGACCACTACCCATGGCTTGACAGAAGGGCCAAATCAGTGGGCAAATGTAGGGACAGGGGCAGGCGAATGACAGTGGAACAAGTGTGTCCCTATTGGTGGCTGAGCTCCTTCAGAAGCATCTGCTGTCTAGTGGGCTGGGGTGGAGGTCACCTTGAGGCAGGGCTTAGTACCCGCACACATACTCAAGTGGATCAGTCTGAAAATATGGGTATTGTACACAAGTCTCTTTGGAAAGGAGAGACCTAACATTTCCGCCACCTAACATTTCCCTCACCAGATCCATGTATCTCTTTCTCTCTTAGGTTCCCAGGAAAATACCCCGCTGCTCTCCGGCAGCCTTCACTGTCCCAAGACATTCAGGTGTCCTTCCCAGTCTGCAGGCATTAGTGAAGCAAAACCAAATTCTTGTGAGATAACTTGACAGCGACTCAACTGGGCAAGGCTCCTTCCGTCTCAGTGGAGCCCACAGATTTCCGGAAGACAGGAGATACCTGACCACCACATCCTCCAGTCCTTCTGGCAAGGTAGGACTTTACCCAGCACCTCACCTCCACCCTCGGCTTCTGGGAAAGGAACCTTAGATATCCTCTGAAAGCGGATCTCAACTTCGCCCCAACTAACTAGGCGTGTCTCTACAGCTCTTAGGTGCCAAGGAGGGCAGCCCGAGTCCAAGGTTCCTGTTCCCAAGAGGCTGTCCTCCTTCTCTTCCCCTTGGGAACCTCTACAACCCGTTCCTAGAGATCAGGCTGCCTGCCAGAGGCCAGTTTCATCGATCGCTGGCCTCCAATGCCCGGTGCAAAGGGCCCCCCTCTCCTCAGAGGACTCGCACGATCTTGGAATCCTGGACGCCGTGGCCCCTTCTCGCTGGGCTCGCGCACGCGGGGAATGAAGGCAGCCTCTGGGCAGCTCACTCACCCTCAGACAGCGGCTGCACACCCCCCCACGCCCCCGCGCCCCCCAGTTCTAGAGCACCCGGACTTCCAATGCCCCGCCCCCACCGAGTTCCCAACTCACCGGCCCGGCAGCCGCCGCCGCCGCCGCCGCCCCCTGCGGAAACTCGGGGCTCCGCGGGAGCCCAAGAAGCCGGTGACAGCAGCATCACTTCCGCCCGGCGGCGCAGCCAATCAGCGGCGGAGCCCCCGGCCGGACCGAGTGGCCAGGAGCCGCCGGCGACATTGTGGGGGCGGGGTGGGCGGGGCGGCTCCTCTGGGCGTCCTCCGCTGAGGAAGCGGCGTGTGCGGCGGCTGACCCGCCGCCCTGAGTCCTCGGGGCATCTTCAGAAGCTACCCTCTCCATAAGGCCGGTCCTCTGTCTCATGGCGTCCTCTGGATAAGGCATCTTGGTTGAGACCTTTAAAACAACACTCTTTCCTCTTCTTTCTCTGACCGCCATGACCCTGACTCTTTCCCTCATAACCTTCCTAAAGAGGGCTTCTCCCTCCGCCAGATCTCAAGTCCTTCTCGCGGTCTCCATCTCTCAAGTCCCTGCGCCCGGGCGGAATCTACTAGCATCTTAGCGCGGAGGGCGGTTTCCGCCAAGTCCGCTCCCCCCGCCCCCGCTCCCCCCACCCCGGCCCAGACCGCGCCGGCTCCGGCCGCCAGAGGGCGCCATCGGGGGCGGCGCGGGTGCCACCGCGGCCTCTCCTCTCCGGGGCCGAGGCTTGCCCCCCGCCGCTCGTGCCGCCGGAAGTAGGAGGTGTCGCGCGCGCGGGCCGGCGCTCGACCCCTCCCCCCCCAGGTTCGGCCGCCCCCTCCCCCCCGCTCCGCCCGCTCAGGTGCGTCCCGTCCCTCCCCCGTTCGCTCCCGGGGGCGCGGCGCGGGAGGTGTGTGAGGGGCGGGCGCGCGGGCGAGGGGCTGCGGCGCGAGGGGCGGGGGTCGAGGCTGCGGGTGAGGGGGGGGGGGGCGTGGAGGGAGTTGCGGGGACGGGCACGGGGGTCCCGGCCTAGAAGTGGGACGGGGGGTTGGCAGCCTGACGGGGGGGCCGAGGACACGGTGCGAAAGGGGCTGCGGCCGGCGGGGCCAGCCCCCCTGTGGAGGGCGGCCGGGACCACTCGGCGTCGCTTCTCCCCATTGTCCCTTTCGCGACCGTCCCCGGATCTCCCCCAGTGACCCGTCGCTCTCGGCGTCGCCGTCTGGTCGCCGCCGGGTTGCGGTGCGAGGCTCCCCTTGGCCTCTTCGACCTAACGCCCCCCGCTCCGGCCGCAGCCTCCTGCCAGATGTCTCCGTCCCCTTCCCCTCTGCGGCTCTCAGCCACCGAGTTGCACGTAGGACCCGTGACCTGTGGTTTTGTTGACCGGGCGCCGGGAAGCCCCGGCCCGGGCTCCGATGGGGCAGGACGTTTTGCACCTGTGCGAACAGTAATGGCGATCTGGGGCCCGTTTTTCTCCTGGGAGCCTTGTATGATGGGGAAAACTGAGGCACAGGGGAAAGATAGCCTGGGACTTAAGTGTTGACACAGGCCAGCCTCCGTGCCTGCCCTATGCTTTCTTCGCGGGTCAGGGATGTACCTGGGATGCTATTAAAATAAAAACGAGAATTTAAGCTAGCCTTATGTTACACCTCCCTCCTCCCATATTCTTTTTTATCTTTTCACCATAGAAGGCCATGAATTTGTCCTGCAACATAAAGGATGACCTTTTGATCTAAAAAAGGCCTGTGTCCCACTTCCCTTACTTAGATTACTGTTTTTCAGCTTCTCATTTTCATGCTGGAGTAACTGAGATTCTCCTACTCTTTTGCACCTCCAGTAACTCTGAAGAGTGTACTTTCCACAGTCAGTGGTTGTCAAACTTTTCCCATCTTTGGGGAACACAGAGTAAAAGATACTTGGATTGCCCAATTAAATGCTATTTTTTCTCTCCCACAAGAATACTTCCAGAAAACTTATATTAATGGAGAATGCTTTTAATGTGACAGGCATAAAATGATTTTAAAACAAAAGATACCGTTGATATTAGGCCCCAAGTCACATCTTTTGTAAATGATATTAGGCAAGGTAGGTATGTGGATCATTTGGAGGATTCTCACAGTCTGTGAGACTGCATTTCTCCTAAACTGAAAAAGCTTTGCACAGGCATATATAGTGTTATTCACACACACATATATATGTGTGTAATATATGTAATGGTATATATAATGATGTTTGAGGATTGATGTCCCTTGGGACCTATTGTGTGTCATGGCTCTTTTTATATCCTACTGAAGAATACTCTTAAATATTTTCTCTTGGAGCCCAGCTTTTTCTTTGTGTTTCTTTCCTGATATGATTCTGCTGTATGGACATTCTGATGGGGAAAGATACTTTTGTTTTGAGATCCTGGAACTTGTAGCTGTAATTTGTTTCTGAATGTGCAGAGCACGATGGCAGCATCTGAGGTAGCTGGCGTGGTGGCCACTGCTCCGAATCCTGCGGAATCCTCTTCTAGTGTTTGTGCTTCCAAACCAGATGAAGGTCCCCCAGATGGTCTAAGGTAATGTGTGGACTCCTGTCTGGGTAGATTTCGTTTGGGTGAAGGGCTTTGGAGATGGGCTTCTTACAGAAGGTCTTTCCCCTTTTTGGCTCTAGTGGCATTGCCCTAGATGAAACTTTTTTAAAGGTAGGGACTGCCTGATTTATATTTGTATATTTGGTACCCCGCACAGTATCCAACACTCAGCAGGCATGCTAATTGTTTGTTGAGTAAATAGATTAGAATATAGCTGGTCAAACTATTTGAAAATGCAAATATTTCCCAACTTCTTCTACATGGACTGTTTATTTAACTATATGTTTATATATTGTACCTGTGTGTATATATACATATATATGTATATATACACACTTAGTATATATGTATGCTTTGTATATATACATGGATCTATATCTGTATCTACAGATAAATAGATAGCTTTGTTAGTATGACTTACTACTTGTGTAGTTTGCCTTCCATCTAAACTCTTGAGGACTGGAATTATGATTACCCAGCCTTGCATTTTATAGTGATTAAACCATTGTTATGTATAATGTTGTACTAGGTTGGCTGCCTCAACACTTTTGTAGAGTACGTAGGACCTATTGCAATAGATAACAGTGTCCTAGCAGCTCTGTATATGTTACTACATTTAATTCTCCTAACAGTCCCAGGAGGTAGGTGCTAATACTGTTATTCCCATTAACAGGTGAGGAAACTAAGACAGAGAGGTTAGTAAATTGCCCAAGGTTACCATGCTGTGTTGGAGTCAGGATTTAAACTCAGGCTTGTCTGACTCCAGTGTACTTATTAAATATCTGTTTAAATGAAGAAGAGAGGTTTGTTATTGTAATGGGGACAGGAGTTAAGTAAAACCTCACCATAAACTTGCATCTTCATTTATAAATAGTGCACTTTCCTGGTGGTCCAGGGGTTAATAAGACTCTGCCCTTCCAATACAGGGGGCATGGTTTCAATACCTGGTCCCACATGCTTCATGGTGCAGCTTAAAACCCCTCCAAAACAGGCACATACTACTAGTAATAATAATAGTAGCCAAGGTTTATTGAGTGTTTACTGTATGCCAAAACTAAATACTTCAGATGCTTTATTTCATGTAATCCTCACAATAAACCTATTAGGTAGGTAATATTATTTCTGTTTTACAAATGGAGTTAAATAACTTGCCCAGAGTTAGTGAAGTGAGTGAAATCGCTCAGTCGTGTCCGACTCTTTGCGACCCCGTGGACTGTAGCCTCCCAGGTTCCTCCATCCATGGGATTTTCCAGGCAAGAATACTGGAGTGGGTTTCCATTTCCAGGATTCACATCTAGGTACTGTGTCTGTCCAAATTTATAATTTGTGTCCCCGTACCCCACTTGATCCCAGCAAGGAGTCAGCAAAGAGCATTTATAAAGATTTTCATGTCACAAGATGCTCCCTGTTGTTTTATTTTGAACAGTAGGTACTATTTTGTTCTTGTTGTTTGTTTGTTTTTGAATTTTCTAGAAAAGTAGGTACTTGAGGAAAGAAAGGCATAATGACCTAAAGCCTCAGTCAGTGCTGGTTTGGAGTCCTTAAGGGTATTGGTGGGGAGCATCCGTGTTAATTTTTTTAATGGCAAAGGGATTTGACACGGATCTAGTCACTATTATTGGGTGAAAGAGTTGTGAATGTTGGATGTCCTTATAAATAGGTTTTGAAGATTTCTCTTAAAAGCAGTATGTTAATGGTTGTGGCAAATGATAAAACAGTTTTTCCAGTGTTATACATGTGTCATCTGGGATAAAATTTCTACTGACAGCTTCAATTTTGGATTCAAAATTGTCTGTACTTCAGGCAACATGAGGTAGTGATGTTATGCTCTAGAAAGCTGTTGAAGGACCTAAAAAGTGGTTCTGGTCAAAGATCTGTCTAGGGAATTTGAGTGTGAATTATTTTGTGAAACGAGAGTGGAATAAAAACAGTTTCCAAATTAATATTTATTAAAAATATTATGTGTAACAAAAATAGTACATGGACCTAAGTGAAATAGTCTTAACAATAGGCTATTTCATCTGCATTCCCCCAAATTATTAAATTTGACACCCCCCAATTTCTGGGTCCCCAGAGTCATTCATGTGTGATTATTTATTGTGGACTGTCTCCAGAACCCAGATTCTTCACCACCGTGCTATATTCTTTGTGTGTGTGATCAAAATTACTGAATGGAACCTAAGTTCCTTTTCATCCTGATAATTTGGAGGGGCTTATATAGGTCAGTCTTGTTCTTCTAGTGGTTGTATTGGAAGTATTATATGTTTCACCCTCCTTAAGATTGGATGGAGAGAAACTTTTTATCTTCTGTTTTCATAGCCCCAAAGACCCTGCACAGAAGCATAAGAACTCGCCTCTGTCGAGTGTAAGTAACCAAACGATAACCAAGGAGAATAACAGAAATGCCCATTTGGAACACCCAGAGCAGAATCCTGGCTCATCAGCAGGTGACACTTCAGCAGCGCACCGGGCGGTTTTAGGAGAAAACTTGATAGCCACGGCCCTTGGTCTGTCTGGCGGTGGGTCCCAGTCTGATCTGAAGGACGTGGCCAGCACGGCAGGAGAGGAGGGGGACACGTGCCTTCAGGAGAGCCTCCACCCCGCCACTCGGTCTCTTAAGGCAGGGTGCCATACAAAGCAGCTTGCCTCCGGGAATTGTCCTGAAGAGAAGGCCCCACAAGCCTCCATCCTAAAGGAAGGGAGCAGGGACCCAGGCTTGGAGTTCCCACCTGTGGTGCCTCCAGCAAATGGGGTTGAAGGAGTCAGAGTGGATCAGGATGATGATCAGGATAGCTCTTCCCTGAAGCTTTCTCAGAACATTGCTGTCCAGGTCAAGTATCAAGTTTCTACTACTAACATGGAATTTGGGCTTTTAATTTAATTTTTTTTTTTTTGGAGGGCAGGAGATAACTTCATAGTTCGTGGAGAACAGCTCTGTCTCTCTTTTTTTACTGGCAACTCTCATACCACTCTCATACGGTGCTCTGTGATAACTGCATTCTGGTGTTACTGGTGTTCCACAAGTAACAGCCAGTGTCTAATCATGGCAACCAGGAACTTCATGACCTACATACAATTGCTTGCACCAAGTAATTGATGAGCGTAGGTCATTAGCATTCATATTTCCCATATTCGCACATGCAGGAGGAATCCTTGTTAATTCTCTGACCTACATCTTAAGAAGTACAGTGTCTCCTGCCTTCTAGTGACTAATATGCTTTGTCATAGAAAGAAGAATGGGCAGAATGAGTTGTAGGGGGCCAAAATTCCTGTTTCAGCCTTGGGGTTGTCTCTCCATCAGTTGTTGGGTCTCATTCAGGTTATTTTGTGGGATAAGTGCTTAATGCAGCCTGGATGTCAGAGGGCATTTGCCAGAACTACAGTTCTTTTGCTGTGAAGCTGAAAGAACAAAAAGTTAATTTCTCAGTTACTTGTGACAGATTTCTCAGTGAAAGGACTATATAATTCTGCCTTTTAAAATGTCTCTGAACAGTTCTGAATATAATTGTTTCTTTCTTTATAGACTGACTTTAAGACGACTGATTCAGAGGTAAACACAGATCAAGATATTGAAAAGAATCTGGTGAGTAGTTAAACTGTCGTTACTGGTCTATGAAACTGTTAATGCGGAAGATCTAGAGTCACATCATCCCAATTGGAAAAGGTGCAGGAATCTCCTTTATAAAATTCCTGAGAGATGGTCAGCTAACTTCTGCTTGATTACTTCCAGAGATGGGATGCTTACTACTCACAAAGCAACATACCGCATTTAGAAAATAGATCTTACCGTTAGATCTTATTATGGGGTGAGAACAGAACCACTAAAGCTTCTTGTTATAGTTCTCTCCTGAGCTACATAGAGTAAATCTAAAACGTTTTACTTGTTAGCCCCCAATATAGTCAAAGTGGTGGTTTTTTTTTTTAGTGCCTTTTGCTCTTACCTCTCAGGTATGAACCTTTTCAGGTGAAATGTCCCCAGATGTTTTTTAACATTCTTCTTCGTGTATTTTTCAGTTTTTCATCATCCTGACTTCTTTTCCACCTCGAGAGGTTCCATCTTCTCAATGTTTCTTTTAAAATGTGATCTTAAGAGCTAAACATAGTAATGCACATACAGTATAATTACTTCACAATACAATGGGACCCTTGTTCTCTCTCTCATTCTAGACACCATTTCTTAAGCTGACAGCAGCTTGTTTTGGCCGTCTCGTCACACTGTTGAGCTTTCACTCAAACTCCATCATGTCTTTTTCTCATGTATTGTTTAGTTGTGTCTTCCTATTTTATTACTAGGTAATTGGTTTTTAAAACTTAGAGAGCTTCACATTTATTTTTGTTAAAATGGTCCCCTTGATCTGTCCCTGGCATTTTGTGGCAAAAACTTCTACCTTGTATGTGTGTGAATATCTGAGCATTTATTTTTAAGAGGAAGGATAATGTGCAGAAAGGCACCCTTGGTTCAGGAAGAGGTCTTTAGGATTAGATATGTTAGTTGAGTGGAAATAAGGAGGAAAACCAGTTAATATTTTGTTGTTGTTTATTTGTTTTTGAATTTTTTAGAACAGTAGGTACTGTTGAGGAAAAAGTATATAAGAGGAAATAAAGTAGATATTTGGCACAAGTCAAAGAAATTGAGGAGCAGAAAGAAGTCAGTTATCGGAGTGTGTTAACCACATGAAGCCAATAAAAACTTTTAAATAGAGAGTAGCAACTCAGGAGTTATTTATAACAGGCAAGTAAAAAGATACCAGAGATGAGAGACCTGATGGCCATGTGCAAGCTGAGAACGAGGCTAGACAAGAACCTCCAAGGGGAGGAGGAGAAGTTGTCTTTTCTTGAGCACTTACTCTAGACACTTTACACATAGTATTTATTTGGTCCCCACAGTTGTAAGGTGGAGTTGGGATGACTATATAGCAGTTGAAGAGGCCAACTTAAGAAGTTGCAGATAAGCTTTAGCATCAGTCTGAAATGGGTAGAGACTGGACTGAAGGAGGCCCAGGGTTGTGGTCTCTTTGGCTGTGTTTTTATAGGTGGTGATGTGGGCCACATGCTTTAAGAAAGGCGGTGGAACTAGTCAGGTATGAAGCTGGATGGCAGTGCAGGGAACTTTGCTGTTGTTTTATTTGCTAGGCTTTTCATGCACTTACAATAATTGCCCACTGCCTGCATTTCAAATTGGGCCTCTGGGCTCTCAGAACCAATTAGCCACCAGTGAAACAAAGTAGCAGTGTGTAACCCTTTGGCTTGGAGAAGAAGTGGATCAAGTAATTTCCTATACACCTCTGAGTCATCAATTTGCCTGTACTAATGGTGTGTCCTTGAAACTTCCTTCTGTGAAGACTTGAGTTTTTTTTTTTCTGCATCCTGTGTTATATATAAAGATGCATTATGGACAAAAAAGTTTCCGTAAGAAAATAAAGAGAGAAGAAAAGAATGCTCTTATTTACTAGTTTCATCAGTTGGTTCTTAACTTTTTTTTTTTTAACTTTTCTTGGGTTAAGATCTTTCAGAATCTTTTGAAAACTTTGAATTCTCCTCAAAAAATTTTGTACACACCTATGCATAGACCTTAGATTCAGAAAACCTTTAAAGTTATGACTCCTTAAGTCATCTGTTTAGGGAGCCTTAGTCACATTTCAGTACCTGGACTAAGGACTAGCTTATCCCAAAGCTAAAGTCCCATCTTGAGAACTTCTGGTTTTTTTTTTTTTTTTTTTTGGTCATAGGGTGATAAGTTTTCCCCCATTCACTTCTAAAACCTTTCTTTTCTTTGAAAATAGTTATCATCTAGTGAATGAATTCAGTTTAATGCTCTGTTTAAGTTTTACATGGGCTACCTTGTACCAAATGTGTTTTAAATTGACCCAGTAAGTTTTCGTGTCCCTTTGAAAGCTAACCATTACTTTTCTTGATTTACTAACGTCAGGGAGGCAGAGCTGAACTGTGGCCCTTAAAAGCTTTACTCCTGCTCCTACTTTATGTAAGAACTTGCCAATTTGTCCAGTCTGAATCACAAGTCCCCCAGAGCACTGGTGGGTTTTTGTCAGTTTTTAGTGCTATTGACCAGTAGGGAATCCAGTTTCTGGATGCATTTTGAGTTCTTTGTTTTTGCTCATTCTTCTTCTTCTTAATAGATGATAAAATACCTTATTTCTCTTATTTCCTAGAGCAGAGGAATAGTTTATGTAAGAATCAGTTAGTAGAGATCTTAGGCTTTCTAGGTGAGCTGGGCTCTTTTGTAACTGCTCCCCTCTGCTGTTGTAGTGTGAAAGCAGCCAGTAAACCGTTGGGTATGGCGACGTTCCTGGAAAACATTTACTTATAAAATCAGACGATGGCTGGATTTGGCCCATAGGCCATGGTTGCCACCCACATCTTAGTGCAATGTTGTACAGCAGAATTTCCTTTCACGATGGAAGTGTTCTTTATGTGTGCAGTCTAGCATAGTAGCCACTACTCACACAAAGCTACCAAGCACTAGGAGTGTGGCAAGGTGACTGAAGAGCCGGCTGTTTACATTTTCTTATTCTAATTACTTTAAATTTACGTAACAGACAGCATGGCTAGTAGCTCCGGTATTGGACCCTGCAGCTTAAGAGCTCTGCATGATGCCTTGAACAAGCCTACGGTGAATGTTTCTTGCAGCTAAATTGATGAATTCAACTCCTTTTCTGTTGTTAACCCATAGGATAAAATGATGACAGAGAGAACCCTGTTGAAGGAGCGTTACCAGGAGGTCTTGGACAAGCAGAGGCAAGTGGAGAATCAGCTCCAAGTGCAATTAAAGCAACTACAGCAAAGGAGAGAAGAAGAAATGAAGAATCACCAGGTATCCTGCTTATATTAAAATTGGCAACAAGTAAAGCTATAGTCCCTAATTAGACTTTAACCTTGTTTTCAAATTAATAGAAATAAAAAAGCAGTGTGTGTGTGTGTGTGTGTGTGTGTTAAGTCGTTCAGTCTTGTCTGACTCTGCTACCCCATGTACTATCCCGGCCAGGCTCCTCTGTCCTTGGAATTCTATGGGGAAGAATTACTGGAGTAGGTTGCCATTCCTTTCCTTCTCCAGGGGATTTTCCCAACCCAGGGAGCGAACCCAGGTCTCTTGCACTGCAGGCAAATTCTTTACCATCTGAGCCACCAGGGAAGCCCTAGCGAGGCTAGGTTAAAATGACCTAAAACATACTCACATGTCCTTTGACTAAAGGATAATAATGTATTTGAATTAAAAATTAAAACAGTCCCTATCCATGGCTAATTCATTTCAATGTATGACAAAAACCACTGCAATGATGTAAAGTAATTAGCCTCCAACTAATAAAAATAAATGAAAAAAAAAAAAAAACAACAGTCCCTAGGAACAAAAGATGGAGTAAACAGATTTCATTGCACAGGTGAGCTGTGGACATGAGCATCACAAATCACATCCCCCAAAGGCAATCTGCAAGTAACTTTTTAATCGTTATCATAGAATTTTAAGTGTAAACAAGAACTTTGAGGGCATCTTGTCCAAATTCTCACTTCTATTTTAATTCAGAATATATTTAATGTATTTTGTTGATGTAATTGGTTGCCTACCTGGAAAGTCATTTGATTAGATTTTTATCTCATACTGTGTTTAAAAATACAATTCTAAGTGGATTAAAAATATACATTGAAAACTGGAAAAAAATTTTAAGGTAAAGAAAAATTTAGGAGAATATATATGTACCTTAAGTTGCAAGAAGTCCTCTTAATCCAGGCAGAAAACCCAGAAGATTTTTTAAATTAATTTAATTATATATAATTAAAACTTTTGATATGGTAAATGATACAGAAAACAGTCAAAAGATCAATATTAGACTGAGAGAAAGTATTTCTAGCAGATCTGATGAAGGATTTAAGATCCGAGACACTCTGAGATTCCTACAAATTCATAGTAAAAGCCAAATAGTCTAAAGAAACACCAGGAAAGCTTATTGTATTACTTTTCTATTGTAATAGTTTCCTATTGCTACTGTAGCAGATTGTCCTGAATTTAGAGCTTAAAACAACACGTTTATTGTATCAGTTCTGTAGGTCAGAAGCCCGACATGGGTGTCACTGGGCTAAAATCAAGGTATTGGAATGGCGGCCTTCCTTTCTGGGGACTTCAAGGGAGAAGACATTCCCTTGCCTTCCTGGCTTCTAGAGGCTGCTTGCATTCCTTGACCTGTGACCCCTTCTCCCTCTTCAAAGTCAGCCATGTTGCATTTCTGTAACCATTCTTCCCTAATCACATCTTCCTTTGCTCAGGACAGGGGAAGTTTCTCTATTTTAAAGAACTATTTGTGATTAGATTGGACCCACCCAGGTAATCCAGGATTCTCTCTTTTTGTTAAGGAAGGTAACAGAGGTTCCAAGGGGTAGAACATAGACATTTTTGTGAGGCAGGGGATATTATTTTGCTGACAATTATAAACAGTAATTAACAGAAGAGGAAAAGCAAATGGGGAATAAATATATGAAAATAAACTCAGCCTTACTAGTGTTGATTCATTCATACAACAAATATTTTTTGAGTTCCTCATCTAGTCCCTGAAGATTTAGTGGTAAACAAAACATAGTCTTTGTCTTCATTGGATGTTTATTCTAGTTGGAGGAGACAGACAATGAAAACAGTAAAAGAATAGGAGGTGGTAAAATGCTCATTAAAATTACTAGATACCCTTCCTCCCTCTTTCCCATGAGATTGGGCAAAACAAAATAAGCTGTCAAGGGTAAGAAAAAATGAACTCTTCTTAGACATTGGTAGGAGTGTGAATTGTTAACAATTTTTTTTTAAGAAAAGATACTGGGAATTGTTAGTTATATTTTAAAATGTATATACATCTTGACCTAGACTCCTCATTATTAGAAGTCTACTCAACAGAAATAAAAGGTTTTTGTATGAAAGTATAGACATAGAATGTTTATTGTAGTACAAGAAAACTGGGATAAACCTGATGGACGCTTTTAACAGAGTGGCTCAATTGGCTAAATACATCTGTCATGTCGTGTTATGCAGCTGTTTTTTAGTTTGGTGTATACTTGCTGCAAGTATGCTCATGTCAGGAGAACAAAGCAAGATGCAGAATAATGTATATAAAATTACCTCATTATAAAAAAACAGAAAAGCAAAGAAATACATATGTAAGTACACATGTTGGTGTGAGGATGGAGAAAGTTGCGAAAGCATAGTACAAAACACTTTTTAACACATTGATTACTTTATGGGTGGAATTGATGTGAGTTAGAGATGACTTTGGCCACCTGGTACAAACAACTGATCACTAGAAAAGACCTTGATGCTGGGGAAGATTGAAGACAGGAGGAGAAAGGGATGACAGGTGACAAGATAGTTGAATGGCATCACCGATTGAATGGACATGAGTTTGAGCAAGCTCTGGGAGATGGTGAAGGACAGGGAAGCCTGGCATGCTGCAGTCCCTGGGGTCTCAAAGAGTTGGCCATAACTGAGCGACTGAATAAGAGATGACTTAAATTTATCACTTTTTAATTTTTGACTTATTATACATATAGTCAGATAATTTAAAAAGAACAGATAATCCCTACACATAATAAAGTAGAACCATAACAAAACAAAGCAAGACCATATTTGTTGGAAGTAACAAACTCCCACCCTGTACAAGAATGCCTTTCTCAGCAGTCTTGATAGGTGTTCATTCAGCCTTTATTTGAGCACCAGTAATAGAGAGATTATTGCTTCACAAGGCAGCAAATTCCATTTTTGAACAGTTGTGATTCTTAGAAATTCTTTCTTCTGTTGAATTGATATCTGCATTATTACTTACTCCCTTATATCTAAGTACTGGCTTTTGGGACTACTCATGAACTAGATTCCTTCAGTTCACTCTAAATTCACTAAAGTCAGTGTTAATTTGTGATAGTTGAAAGTAACCTTCAGACCAAAAGAATTAATTCATTTCCTTCTTTGTGTGTGACTATAATTGTGTGGGACTCAGGAGATATTAAAGGCTATCCAAGATGTAACAATAAAGCGAGAAGAAACGAAGAAGAAAATAGAGAAAGAAAAGAAGGAGTTTCTGCAGAAGGAGCAGGATCTAAAAGCTGAAATTGAGAAGCTTTGTGAGAAGGGCAGAAGGTAAATGATACTGTTAAGAATAAAAATGCTGTGTGAATGTGTGTGTTTGTATATAAGAGGCCGGTTCTGTTTGTGTTTCTAGTTCCTTTTCTTTCCGTCTTAATTTTTATTTGAAAAACAAGTGCACAAATTAATATCCTCTAGTAATTTTAGCTTTTTCAGCACCCTGTGTTAAATTTAGCAAAAAGTGTCTCAGGAATTCATTAATGCATTGGAATGATAGTAGTGAATTGCTTGGTCCCAGGTATGATCAAGATTTTGGTATATATCTAGCACCTGTTTCACTTGCTTTATCTGATATTTTACAATTTAGATGATGAGACTACTTTGATTATATTTTTGTTCAACACCAAAAGCAAATTTCAAAAGTAGCCTTGTAAGCGGTTTGGAAAGCCATTTAATGAATCTGTGTCCTTTTCAGGGTACTGCAGCAGGACTAAGGTGGACATAAAATTCAGGCATAGTTTCAAATTTCCAAGTTTCTTCTTGTGACCTGTTTGGAAATCAAAATAGCTGAAATGAGTTTTTATTTATCAAGAAATTCTTAGCTTGCTAATATGTCAGAGAGCTAAGTGGAAAGTAGCAGGTTCATTTGCCAAATCATTTTTCAAGTATGAGAGATGGTAACTATGAAAGAACATTATAGAATATCTGGGGAAATTTGAGTTTGAACTACATATTAGATAATACTGTATCAGTGGTAAATATTTTGGATGATTATGGTATGTGATTACATAGAAGGATCTTATTCTTAAGAGATACTTGCTGAAGTTTTAGTGGTTAAGTGTCATAATGTCTATAACTTTCAGATAGTTCAGAGAGAGAGGTAAAGTAAACGTGGCAAAAAGTATAACAGCTGGTGGATCCAGATGAAGGACATATATTTATTTATTTTTAGGAGATATGTTTATTGTACTCTTCTATTAACTTTTATGTTGGTTTGAAATTTTTTTTTTTTCTTTTTTTGGTTTGAAATTTTCAAAGAAAAAGCTGCAGGGTAGATATAGGGAGGAATTAGCCAGGCAGTGAGTAAGGAAAAAGACATTGCAGGCAGGCGACCTACAGAGAAGAGAGAATAACAACTGAGATTAAGTATACAGGAATGAGGCTAGTGGAGAAGTCAGAAGTCAGATCACAAAGGCTTATATACTTTGTTAAGGAGTTTGAGATTTTTCCCTGATAGACTGAAGAATTTGAATTACTGGATAGGAAATTAAGATAGTTTCTCACTGATATTATATAAAGATGAATTTACTTAATAGAAATCTGCTAAGTGCTTTGTACTATTTGAAGGTAGTCACTGTTTTATAAATATAATTAAAAAATTTTAACAAAGACACCATGAGTTGACAGAAAAGTAAAGGACCAAATATTCAGTTTGGTCATAAATTTGATTTCTGTTCTCCTTGACACCTGGCTGCTTTACAATGACGTTGCCTTGCTTTTGAGGGGACCCTGTCTAGACCCCAGCTTCGAGATTATTGCTGGTATATTAGAAAGGTGCGGCTGCCAAGCTAGTTCTTTTCTAGCTCCAAATTTCTTTTCAGGCTCCCTGCCTTGAATAGTGACTCATCAAGAATAACAGCAAATAGGGCTCTTCTTGAATAAAGATGGTGAGCTTACATTTTAAAAGACAACGTCAAAAAAAAAAAAAGACAATGTCAGTTGATTCAGAGGTAGCTTGGGACAAGTAGCAGAAAAATTGCAGTATCAAGCAAGATCCTTATTTTTTTTTTTAAATGCTTTGAGCTTGCCTGACGAGCTTGTGATAGGTAAATAGCAGATCAGGGGAGTTAATGTTGGAAGCATTACTTTGGATGTGATATAAGAGTTTATGCTATATTGAATTGACAGTATGCATGAGGATTCCTTTTGGAAATTCCTTACCAAATGCTGGTTTGTTTAACTGATAGGCTTTGAAGTCCTAATAGCCTGTCTGGCCGTCAGTAAGTTCTGTGAGTATTTCTTAGGTGCAAAGCAGTGAGCCAGACTGTTGCACCATCCTATATTTTGACCACAACCTTCAGTCCTTCCAGCTTTCTGTCTTATTCCCAGTAAATGTACACTTTGACCACATCAGATCCTTTTTCTTGTTTGTTGACCTCATTACATTTTCCATTAGTCCTCCAGCTCCCTGGAAGCGATTCTTTCCCTAGCCCACTGAGACTCAAAGTCCATTACTGGAATTACTTTTTACCATTGCCATCAATTCTGCTGAAACTTGTTCCTTTCTTTTAATTTTTTTCATAGTACTCCAGTCTTGGCCCAAGTTAGCCACCTGACATCTCTTTTCTTATAGTTGGGCCGCTGAGTTTGCTGGAGGAAATCTTACCACTGTGCATCTTGAGGCCAGAAGGAGTTTGACTTTTAGACACCCAGATAGATCCTCAGGGCTCCCTCTTCCTCTGAGGGCTGTCCCTGTCTATTACTTCTCTTTCTAAACTTTCCATTTCCACCATTTCTCTCATTAGTTTTAGCATGTGAGCTTGTCTTTTATTTCACTGAAAAAATAGGGGCCACTGAGTAAAGCTTCCTTCTGTTTCCTATCAGCAGACGCATCCATACTTTCTTCCTGTTCTTGTATCTGAGTCTAAACTTCCTACTTGTGTGTGAATCCTGGTGCCTCTTGTTTCTCCCAATTTTCCGTAAGTGGCACTACATCCTCTTCCAAGGCCTCAGTGGGAGAAACGAGTCATTCCTCTCTCTTAGCCCCTCTCCACCACATGTGCTTTACCATGTCCTGTAGATTCTGAACATTAGGGATCCCTCTCCATTCGCTTTGCCACTCTTACTTTAGGTTTCTATCCCTTCTTCTAGATCTGAAGCAGGCTACTGACCTTTCTTTGCCTCCATTCTCGTCTGTCTAGTACACAGCTACCATAGAAATCTTTCTAAGATATGGATCTGGAAATGTCATTTCCCTGCTTAAAATCCTTCATAATTCCTAGGATAAAGTTTAAACTCTGTATTTAGTGTAAAAAGCCCTAATTATCTAGTTCCTGTTTATGTCCCCAGCTTATCTTTTGGTGGTGGTGGCTTAGTTGCTCAGTCTTGTGTCTTTTGTGACCCCATGGACTGTAGCCTGCTAGTTCCTCTGTCTGAGGGATTTCCCAGGCAGGAATACTGGAGGGGGTTGCCATTTTCCTCCTTTTCCAGGGGATCTTCCTGACCCAGGGATCTATCCCGTGTCTCCTGCATTGGCAGGCGGATTCTTTACCACTGAGCCACTAGGGAAACCTGCTATACTTTTTAGCACTCCCCCAAACCACCATTGGAGAAGGAAAAGGGAACCCACTCCAGTATTCTTGCCTGGAGAATCCCTTGGACAGAGGAGCCTGGCGGGCTGCAGTCCATGGGGTCGCCAAGAGTGGGACATGGCTGAGCAACTGAGCACATAGCACAGACCACCACACTGGTTTATACCCAACTGCTGCATGTAGTATCCTGCGCTCTCTTAAAACTCAGCCTGTATCAGCTGCTCTAGAAAACTTCCCCAGCTGCACCCCTTATACACCCCTTCACACACCGTGCCCATTTAATTTAGATGATTCTCTTCTGTATTCATCTAGCATGGTGTGTATATTCCTTTCATAACATTGACCTCTGATGGTCCTTCTTGTTTCCTGGAATGTTTCCCCGCATTATATAGTTAACTTTTTGAGAGCAAGTATTTCAGTTATCTGTTGCTTTCTTTTTTTAAAAAAAAGCTCTCAATTCTTTGGGTTGATTCTCAGATGGATGGTTTTTCTAGTCCCCTTTGGAGACATTCTTGTAGCTTTAGTTTCACGGCACCTGGGGCTGAAATGTCCAAGATGACCTCCTTCATATTTCTGCTGCCTTGGCAGGGCCACCTGAAAAGCTGGGCTCAGGTGGGACCCTGGGATGTCTAGGATTTTTTCACTCTCTCTCCATGTTGTCTCAGAACTCTCTCCTCTCCAGGTGGTCTTTCCTGCAAAGGGGTCAGGTTTCTTACTTGGCGGCTCAGGGCTTCCAAGCGTGCAGAAGTCCAGAATTTCTTAAGGCATAGACTTGGAACTGGCACAGCATTACTCCTGTGGCATTTTGTTGGTTAACGTGAGTGATAGGGCCAGCCCAGATTCAGTGTGGGAGGGGACTGTGAGGAGGAGGCCTGGTTCATTGGGAAGACTCCGTCCCTGGAGATTTGCTACTGCGGCAATAACACATCTTGTTTAACTTTTTCTGCTCGGCAGTATTATCTAGGTATGGAAAATCACATGCATGCTCAGTTGCTCTCAGTCGTGTCTGACTGTTTGCAACCCAGTGGACTGTGGCCTGTCAGGCTTCTCTGTCCATGGGATTCTCCAGGCAAGAATACTGGAGTGGAGTGCCATTTCCTCCTTCAGAGGCTCTTCTCAACCCAGGGATTGAACCCGCGTCTCCTGCATTGGCAGGTAGATTCTTTTATCACTGAGCCATCTGGGAAATCATAGAAGTTATGTAAAAACAGGAGTAACATAACTGAAGATGTTTTAGAAATATGTGAAGAAACAAAGGCTAGGACATGAGCCAGTAAACTCTTAGAATAAAGTGAGTTTCCAAGAATTATTATAAGATTAATAGTGGCTGAATGAAAAGGGAAAATTGGATTTAGGAGGACTTGGTATCCAATTATTTTAAGGATTAGGATGGAGGGAGAAGTCAAAAATAACTACATTGTTTTACCCTGGGTAACTGTGCCACCATGGACAGTAATTGGGAAGTAGAATACCAGTTCTAAATTTTGAGGATAAAGTAACATTTTTGATGATTTGGGATGCGCAAGTTTAAATACTTAGTAGACAATTAGAAATGGGAGACTTGAATACAGAGAAGATGCTGTATCCTCATTTGGAGTTGCATATAAACAATAGTTAAAATAATGGAAGTGAATTTTCTGTGGGAAAAAGTATAGAGTAGGGCTTAGTTCTGAACTTTGCAGTTTGGGAGTAGAAAGAGGAAAAGAAGGCAAAAAGAATTACCAGAGAAAGACAAGGAAACTG